CAGATCACAGTTTTACTTCAGTTACTCAATCTCCTCTCCCCTAGCAAATACCTGCCGAGTGCTAGATCTATCGATCAACCAGAGCTACCGCTGATATATCAAGTAGCTCTACCACTCCTTAACACTTATTAATAAGATTAAGATAATAAACGTTGCTTAGGGTTTTATATAAGAAGTCTACTACTACTATAGCCTGTTATATTCTATTACGTCTAACTATAGCCCTTAGTTTATAAGCTAACTATAGAAAAACATCTATAAGCTACTAAATATTTAGTAGAATCTCTCTATAGCTTACAACCTATAAATAGATAAGATATTAGAATAAGCTAATAGTAATATAGAAGTAGTTATATAGATCTTTTATAACTATAACTAAAATGATTAGGCTTAGCTTTACCCTTTTCTAGAACTTATGCTTAACTTCTATATAAACGCCTTTATAGGTATATCTTCTTTCTTTCTTTACTATAGTTACTATAACACCCTATTTCTCTAAAAGAAAGCTATCTTAAATAACGAAAAAGTAAGTATAGTAGCTAAAGAGATAGTACGCACAATTAGTAATATAGTAAACTAAATAGTTTTAGCAATATTATACGCCTAATAAGAGTAAAAGAAGTAAGTAAATAAATCTTATAAACTATTACCTACTTATAAAGTAAGAGAATAAGTCTAGTTAAACTTATATAAGATATAAATACCTAAATAAGTAAAAAGCTGAAATAAAAAAGTAGAAAGTACTAAGTTGCCTATATATAAGACACCTACTAGGTAAAACTTATAGTACCCTAAGACATAAGATTCTTTTATATAGATAAGCTAAGGCTAGCATTCAACAACCTTTTACTATCATAATAAATAAATAATAGTGGCCCTATAGCTATCATTATGTAGGAAGATAGAAAAGAAAAAGACTATTTAGAATAGCTTATATAAGGCATTATAATAAATAAATACAAAATAGAGAACTATAATATCTTATTATTTAAATAAGCTACTTAGAGGGTATTTAAGAACTAGCTATAGCACTTAAAGATATAAAGGCCTTAAATAGATAGCTTGCCTAACGTGGTTCATAAGCGAGCGGACACCCCAAGCGAGCGGACACCTCCCCACCAGCGCGTCGACGTTCATACTACAACGCGTTATATCTTAACTACATTAGATTCAACAAACTTTTTCTAAAGCTAATATCTAACTTGCTATTTTTAATATTAATTCCTAACGTGTAAAGAGTGTTAAACGTGCTACTAAGATCTATAGCGTCCTTTGAATAACTTTATTTTACTAACGCGCTGGAAGACACTCTTAACGCGACTGCGAACTAAATTCAAAGCGCTTAAATAAGCTAGAAGAGGAGGCTATTGTTAGGCGTATTCTTGAAGAGTCTGCGCGAGGATTTGCGCCTACAAAGGCTGAGGTTCAAGCAATGGCCGATAAACTGTTAGAGGAGCGTGGTGGCAACCCTGTTAGCAAGAACTAGGTTAACAACTTTGTTAGGCGGACTGCTGAGCTCCGTACGCGCTAGAGCCGTCCCTATAATCACCAGCGAGCCGCCTGCGAGGACCTAGTGGCTATCCAGCGCTAGTTTGACTTAGTCTAGGCAACAAGGCAGAAGTGGGGTATTGTGGACGACGATATCTACAACTTTAACGAAACTAGCTTTATGATAGGCAAGATTTTATTATAGTTATTAATCATAGGCTTAGAAGGATATAGGAAAAAGAAGCAGATATAGCTAGGCAACTGCGAGTGGGTTACTATAATCTAAGGCGTGGGCGCATTAGGTCGCTAGATACCACCCTTCGTTGTCTTTGCGGGCAAGGTGCTTATTAACGTCTAGTTTAAGGATTTGCCTGCTAACTAGGTTCTTGAAGTTAGTCCTAATAGCTGGACGAATAATTAGCTTAGTCTTGCCTAGTTAGAGCACTTTAATACCTATACAAAGAGGCATACTGTAGGTGGGTATTAACTGCTTATTATTGACGGCCATAAGAGCCACTGCTCTATCGATTTTTAAGATCTTTGCAAGGAGAAGAATATTATTCTTCTCTGCATGCCTCCACACTCGTCTTACCTATTGCAGCCCCTTAACGTCGCCTGCTTCTCGCCGTTAAAGCGCAAGTATGGCGACGCTGTTTCAGGCTTAGCACGCAACCGCACCCACTATATTAGCAAGGAAACCTTCCTACCAGCCTTTAAGGCTGCTTTTAAGCAGTCTATCACGAAGGAGAATATCCAAGCTAGCTTTAGAGGCGCTAGTCTAGTCCCACATGACCCACAGGCTGTGCTATCTAAGCTTGATGTAGTGGTGCAGACGCCAGTATAATCACCACGACGGACAGCCGCCTAGCAGGCGCAGACACCACGCAACGCGCGCGAAGTTAAGTCTCAAATTAGTCTCATTTAAGAGAGCGTGAGAAAACGCCGTAGATCTTCTGCCAATTCACTCACTAAGTAGATCGCGTAGCTAAGTAAGGGGGCCTAGCAAATGGCACATAAAATGACGCTTATGATGGAGGAAATGGGTACGCTTTGAGTGGCTCTTGACAAGTCAAATAAGCGTAAAAGCTGCAAGCGGCGATACGTACGGACAGAAGAGACTCTTACTGTAGGCGAAGTACAAGAAGTATTAGCTAAACAGGCGGGTAGCAGTCGTGGTGATGGTGAGAGTGCGTCGAAGAGGGTGCGAGGAGAGCGGCGGTGCGGGCGTTGCAAGCAGACTGGACACAACGCTCGTACCTGCGCAGTTAAGATAGACAGTGCAAGTGATAGTAGCGATTCTAATCATTAATTTAGTATATTGCAATAGTTTATTGACTGTGATAAAAGGCTGTGATAACGTGTTGAAGTTGACGCGCTGGTGGGGAGGTGTCCGCTCGCTTGGGGTGTCCGCTCGCTTATGAACCACGTTAGAGATAAAGTAAGGGAAAAAACTACCTACACCATCCCCCCATAGGCACCTTTTATGAGAGTGTGTAGAGATAATTTAATTATTATTATTTTTTTTAAGTATTTTTATATATAGTAATCATCTCCATTAGTATCGTAAGAAAGAGATAGAATACGTAGTAGGTTCAATAACATTTGCCACCCTAGTCAAGGGTTCGAATGAATGTAGCTTCAATATCTAATATGTGCCTATAGGTTGTTGTAATACCTGCTATGAGATAAATAACGTTTCCTAAAACCCGCGAATGTATCTGGACCTGCGGACTTGGCACGCCATATAGGAGCTTATCGCGAATGCCTACTGCAGCTAAAGAATTATATCCTGTAAAAAATCAGCTAGAAGGCAGAAAGAAGTATTATGTCGCTTACCTGAGCCTTGGCCATCAGTAAGTGACACCGCAAGAACGGAGCCTAGCGCATTCACATAGTCGACTCTCGCGTGATTGGATAATCTTTCCACAAATGACCTGGACCACATGCTCCATGAATTGCCCTCATCACTACCAGCCCATTGCTTCTTGAAATCTTTCCACTCTTGGCCTACGCTCGCCTGCTGCATTATTTCCAAGCTGGTGTTGGCCACATGGCAGCCCACTGCATGTGCAGTGTAGCTGTGTCCATGCAGAAGCGCCTCTGCCTTGCTGTCGCCCCAAAAAGCCTCGAAGACGGATTGACTCGCGGAAGTGATGGAAAGCGGTAGCAGACCTCCTGTAAGTAATTTGGCGTTTACGCTGATATCGGGATGGGCTTGAAGGAACGACGCGGCTGAAAAGCGACCTAGACGATACAGTCCTGTGAAAACCTCGTCAAACATGACAGGCAGCCCCGACCAGGCGTGTTCATCCGCAACAGGAGGCTTTTCAGTCCGAGAATCGTTGGTGAAGTCGTAACGGCGCACAACACGCACCAAAGCTTGTTGGAAGAGCGGATCAACAAAGATCATGCCTCCGGCTCCGAGGATGACAGGCTCCATGATCAACGCCCCAAATTTTCTTCCTTGGCGCTTCACCAAGTCATCCAAAATCTTCTCTATGTAAGCTTCATACTGGGTGGCATGACCTCTTGCCGTGAAATTGAAGATGTCGTCTTGTTTTTCAAAGTGCTGTGTCGGGCCCAACTCTACTTCCAAGCCCTCTGGTGGCTCAACCACCCACTGGCCTTTTTTGAGTTTGAAAGTTGGGTAGTCAAACCAAAAGCCTCGGCCACGGTACCAATCTACTTTGTCGTTGAATATACAAGGTTCGGAAGCGTCCATGGCACCAATCGTGTCTCCATGGTAGCTTCCTTTGAGACCGAGAATCCCAATGTCTTCGCGATTGCTGTCCCACTCGTAGCGCTTGCTAGCTGCGCGGAGGGACATCTTGATACCGACTTCAGTCGCAGTGCTTCCATTGTCTGTGTAGAACACTTTCTTGAGACGCGGGTTGTGCGATTCTCTGAGCATCTTTTCTGCAAGGACCAAAGCCGGTTCATGCGTAGCGCCGGCGAACATGACATGTCCGTACCTCCCAGCTGCGTGTGCTGCTTCTAGCGCAAGTCGAGGGTTTCCATGACCAAGTCCTTGAGTCCACCATGATGCCGAGCCGTCGAATGCAGGGTACAATTCTGACCGGCTCTCGTGCGTCTCTGGCACATGGCCAGTCTGCTTTACTTGGAAGTAATCGCCATACGCGGAATCGAAAACGAGTATTTCATCAGCGCTCTTCAAATGCTTATGCTGTGTAAAAGGATGCCAGATGGCTTCGCTAGTCCGTGACGCCATGCTACTCAAATTGTCGAGCCGTTCGCTGTGGCGATCGAGGAGCCTCATGGCTAGTTTGCGGATAGGCTCCTCCACACTTTGGGCATCATAGAAGCCTTGCATAATTTCCGCTTCCTCTTTAGTACCCGCGCCAATACCCTGCATATTTGGGATCCAGGGTAAGGTAAAGGCCGAAATGCCCGACTTGCTAAAGTACTCTTCCAAGTACTGAGCATTCTCATACTTGCTGTGGTCATTGAAACACACCACTGCATCAATGTCATATCCCCTCACAATCAGGGATTCAGCAGCGGAGATGGTCGATGAGATACCACCCAGGCGATGGTCAGCTACTAGTATCGAGGGAATTCGCAACGGCCGGAAGATGTCGGCTTGTGGAGTACCTGAGGGACCTGGGCTAAGCACGCCGCCAGCTGTCTCGACTATGGCGAGGGCCATGGTATCTGTGTTCATTGAGGCTGCCGTCGCCTCCTGCTGGACGGTCTTAAAGACAGTCTGACTGATGAGCTCATCGCCAGGCTGGGCCAGTCAGTGGGTGCTACCGCCACTGGCAGACAGACATACAACCAGATCAGCCCCTCTTGCTGCGACATGCGGACTGACGGCTTCATCAAACTTGAACAGTGTCGAGACACAACGCCCGCTGTACTTTTGCACATAACTGTCTTGGTCAGCCACGGTAGCACATGGATAGTAGAAGCCAGTCATGTGGCAACAGACGCACCTATCATCAGCTTCATCTGCAGGACCAGTCGATACCGGCTTGATGTACTGCACTCTCCATTTTGTCTTACCAGTCCTTTTGGCAAAGTGCGAACCCAGGAGTGTCGAAAAGACCGTCTTGCCCACTCCTGTGTTGGCACCATAGACCTGCACGGCAATGAGCTTCTTCCACAATGCTCCCGGAACCCTCGGCATCTTCTTCTCTTTCCCGACCCGGATCCAAGACTTGGTGAGTCGAGATAGGCGTAGGTCAGGCTCGCTGGAACGGTCAAAAGTGCGAGGGGAGTAGGAAGGAACGCTAGCAACCTTTCGGCCAGAGGAGTGATCCCGAGCCGCTAAGGCACATGCAGGTACAAATGGGATTAGTCAATCGATGCCCACGCGCATATGCAGTCGCACGCATGGCTAAGTGCGCATTCACAAAGTTTTAGCTAATTGATGACGATACGGCAATCAACCGTGTACGTGTATTGTCGGCTCTATTTCTTTTGCGCGCGGAAAGCCGCGGCCAGCCCCACGCTCCGATGCCGCTGCTCACTGACGGCTTGTGGTAGCAGGTCAGCGTCCCCCCTCCCCAGTGCCCGCAATCACGTTACCCTTACTTGACCCCATTCCGGTGCTACACGTGTGTACAATCAAAAATGGAAGACAAGGCAGATGCAAAGGGACTGGAGCAGACGTTACGCCAACTTCTCGACCGCCGGCGCACCCAGACAACGCTCCGCAACTTGACGCTGCCCAAACCAAATCAAATTGATTTCTCATCCAACGACTTCCTTTCCCTGTCTACTTCGCCACAACTCAAAGTTGCCTATGTGGATGAGCTTCAGAAAGCTTCGTTGCCGTTGGGTAGCGGCGGGTCACGACTTCTTGATGGCAACTCGACTTACGCAGAGGACCTAGAGCGGGACATTGCTGCTTTCCATGGCGCCGAGGCCGGGCTGCTGTTCAACAGCGGATTTGATGCGAATGTGGGACTCTTTTCTTCGGTGCCACAGCGGGGTGATGTGATTGTCTACGATGAGCTCGTACATGCTAGTGTGCATGATGGCATGAGGCTTTCAAGGGCTGGCACCACAATACCCTTCCAGCATAACTCGGTACCCGAGCTGCAACGAGTTCTGCAGCAGCTCCAAGCGGATCATCCAGGCGTGCAAAAAGGTACTTGCAACGTCTTTGTGGCTGTGGAATCGATTTACAGTATGGATGGCGACGTTGCGCCCCTGCAAGACATTGTAAACGTAGCTGAAGACGTCGTGGGCTCGAAGCGAGTGTACATTGTTGTCGATGAAGCTCACTCAACAGGTGTACTTGGCCCGCAAGGGAGAGGCTTAGTGAGCCATCTTGGCCTCGAGAAGCGTATCTTTGCAAGGCTGCACACTTTTGGGAAAGCCTTGGCTGCCAATGGCGGTACGTATGCGCATGCTCTTGGTCTGATTCAAAGTGCTGAAGTTGGCTACAGCGATCCTTTTGGGCTCGGAAACACTGCGACATTACTTGATCAATTACGCACGCCCTCTGATTTACACAACTTTTCTGTCTTACCCACTGCTGGCCCTCGTCCGCTCGGCCTATTGCGTGCTTCAAACGGGGCAGAGCAATCCGCTACAGGCACACCTGCATGAACTCATTCAGACGCTGTATGCAGAGCTCAAAGGCATCCAGGAAGCTTCTGAATACGCGTTGTGTGCACTGAAGATTCCGTCCACATGCCCCGGATCACCCATATTCGCAGTGCAATTGGTGAACCCAAGAGCACTTGCCAGTTTCTTGCAGAACCAAGGCATGATGGTCAGAGCGGTTGTGTCACCGACCGTACCAGCAGGTACCGAAAGGGTCAGGATATGTTTGCATGCTGGTAACACTGTGGGCGACATCAGGAAGCTTGTACTAGCGCTGCAGAGGTGGTGTAAAGATCGGGCCAGAGAGGCACTGGAAGGTGAAGCTGTGAATAAAACAGCGAGCGCCAAGCTCTGAATGCAGTGCGAGTATGTTTCTAGACTATGTTACAAGACGGCATATCCTAGATTACTCGGTGGGTGCCATTTCAGGGGCAGCCTGAGCTACAGTCATATGGAGCCAATGCCAATTATCAAGCAAGAGCTGTTGCTGTTGCCTCGGCCTCTGCCGCTGCGACAACAGCTTCAGCCTCTTCCTGTCCGGGAAGCTTACGCTGTTCGCCGATAGTCTCTTCCATCTTCATTGGCCTCAACCCCCACCTCTTAAACATGGCCTTGTCCTCTTCCCAGCCATTGCAAGCTGTCGTCAGCATCTTCTCGCCGGTGAAGACGGCATTGGCACCTGCCTGGAAGCACAGAATCTGCTTCTCCTCACGCATTGTGTGGCGGCCAGCAGCCAGTCTGATAATGGTGGTCGGGAGTACAAGTCGGGCAGTGGCTATAGTCCTGAGAATAGCATCGAACGAGATGGCCTCTGTTTCGCCCAGTGGAGTGCCCTTGATAGGAACTAGGGCATTGACTGGGAATGACTCGGGGTGGGCTGGCAAGGTGGCTACCGTGTGGATGAGGCCGACATGATCGCGTGCCTTTTCTCCGAGCCCAAGGATGCCTCCAGTGCATACATGAATGCCAGCTTCCTGGACATTCTTGATAGTGTTGAGTCGTTCGTCATAAGAGCGAGTTGTGATGACATTGGGGTAGTGCTCCCGGCTTGTGTCGACGTTGTGGTTGTATGCAGTCAATCCAGCCTCTTTTAGCTCCTTTGCTTGCTCGGCATCGACCATGCCCAAGGTCACACAAGCCTCCATGCCCATGCCACGCACGCCCTTGATCATTTCCTTGATGTTCTTGAGGTTGGTCTTCCGACCGCGCATGTCTCTCCACGCCGCGCCCATGCAGAACCTCGAGCTCCCATTCTCTTTTGCGATGCGCGCGGCTTCCAGGACAGCATCCACCGAGCTCAGCTTTGTAGCCTTGAGTCCAGTATCATAGCGGGATGACTGCGCACAGTAGGAACAGTCTTCGCTACAGCCCCCGGTTTTGATGTTGAAGAGAGTGCACATCTGGATGGCAGCGGGATCATGGAATCGGCGGTGGACCGCGGCCTGTAAGACGCATCATGAGGGGGGGGTTATTTGCTGGACAAGAGCAGTTGCACCTACCGATGCAAAGGTAAGGTCGATGAGCGAAGTGTTGTATATTTCAGCGATTTCGTCCTTTGTCCAATTCGTCCTGGGCGCCTTTGCATTGCGTGCGCTGTCGAAGACCAATGACTGGCCTGTTGGCGGACGTATCTTGTGGGTGGCAGGATATACGGGAGTGTCGAGCACAGTGCTGAAGGAGCGGACAATGTGGTGGACACGACGCGGGCCGGCCCGCAGGCCGTTTGCACGAAGAAGCACTGCGTGAGGCATTGCGAGGGATTGTCGACGGCTTGGTCAGGATGGGACGAGAAGCCCCGGATGGTCGAGTCCAGTCCAGTCGAGTCCAGTCCAGTCAAGCCATGGCTCGATTGGCCGTGAAGGCGTCGGCGAGCGTGGGTGAGCAGATGAAGGCATGTGGGGCTGCAGCCAATGGGGAAGGCCATGATCAACCGTGGGGTCGCGTCAGCAACCGCGCACCAGCACCAGCACCAGTACTTACTTACACCTAAGCCGCCCTGAAGCGTCTCCCTTCGTCCTTCTTCACCCCCACCGTCGCCGCCGCCGCCGCCGCCCACACGAGCATCTTACTCGCCAGCCCGCAAACGGCGCCATTCGAGCCTCTGCTTCGTCCCGCCCGTTGCCGTGTCATAGTCTGGTTGAGCAGCCGGACCCACTAGGTACTCTGCACCGCGCGCTCAACATGCATACTGACCTCCCCTCCTGGCCGTAGCCCGCCGCCTTTAATACCTCATGGCGTAATGAAATTTCCCAACCAAATGCAACGCACATGGCTGGGCTGGACAGGCACGCCCATCAGCGCCATGCCGTGCCGTGCAACCAAGAGTTTCTGCTCGCAGCAAATGAGCGAGATGACACCGACACCACCTGGTGCCAAGGGACGTCCATTTTGGTTTTCTCATGGGGCAAATAAGGTGCTATGCTCCCTTACACGTACAGCAGAACGAAAGACGTGCGTCAAGAGTACGCAAGCGCAATGACGAATCCGATTCATACGCCGCATCGACGGCTTTTCGACATGTATCTACGTACATCATGCCATGGCATAAGTACCGCTTGGCATATTTGACAAGACCCAAGTCTTCAGCCCCTATGCCGAACATACTCCTAAAGCCAGTCGTGGCGTGGCGCAAGCGGGTGCTAGTACTCCAGTCGCTAATAAAAGCACGGCCTCGATAGATGACGAGGCAGATGATGGCTGTTCAGTGTTGGAATGAGGCCAAGCCACACTTGTTTGGTAGCAGTATACGGATATATCCAAGTAGGCATAACTCTTGCACCGCCAATTCACTACACGACGCGAGGCCTTTGGAGTATCTGGCTATCTACGTATATCACGAGACTTTTCCTTGGACCAGCCATCATGACCCTTTCCATAGCGTAGCTTAACCTCACAACCAATCATGACGTCACTTTGCGCCTCCCAAACCTGCAAGTGCAGCACCAAAACTACTCCTCCTTTGACTTCCTCTATCCCTTGTGGTATCAGTCTCACAGTTTACAACCGCCTTAGTTAATCATTAAACTTTTAAAAATTCTCATCATGCTTTCCCCTTCCATGCACACAACCAGTATCTTACAACTCTGCCCTACAGCGGCCCTCAGCGCCTATGGCCTCTATCTGGCCTACCAAAACATCACGCGGCTGCAACAATACGAGCAGAAGAGTGAAAAAGCAGCAGAATGGTCCAATACGGCGGCCCAGAAGCTGCACAAGACGCGCACTACACAGGCGACAGGGACCTTGGCTGTACGTAAATGCAAACGCTTTTTCTTGCTGATTTCATTCTCTTTCTCTACCACCAGTAATGTCAGGAATTGAATATATGTACAATTTACTACCTACGCAGGAAAGAGGCTAATGATAAGTTTCCATATAGCTAATCTCAAGCCTCACATGCTCCATGCTCGTCCTTGTGCCCAGCTTCAGCTCGACTAGGGTGCTCATTGGCGCTGGAGTGGGCAATAGCGTCGCAGCATACCTGGCATATGTGCACATGGCTGGCTACTGGAACGAGCAGACGCAGACGCGGATTCCGTTTGTGCAAGGGTTTAATGAGGCGATACGAGGTAGCGAGCAGGTTGTCGTCTTGCTCAAGACACTAAGCTTGGCGTGGAGCGTGGCTAGCGCCGTGTGGGTGGGCATGGCGAATGGAGCGTCGGGCCTGCTGGGTTTGGCCGTCTGGGGGCTGGTCGTTGGAGGACGTGTTATGGTGGTTGCGCCACAAATGGGGTGGAAGACTCGGGCGTGAGATACGAGGAACAAAGCATATTGTGCCTTGAGAAACGAGTCGATGGAATCCGAGTCTGGAAAAGAAAAGAAAAAAGGGTATCTATTGGTCTATATGACAAAGGCACGATTTATGATTTGACACGCTCCAGGTCTTGTATCAAGCGCATGGTATCTACCTCGTTGACCCAATCTTCAATTCTCGCCCCAACATCGCCAACCAGTCGCTCATATGTCTCGTTGACGAAAAAGAGAGACGTGTGTGCCGTGACTTCGTCCATGTTGTCCATGAAGACCTCAATCCACGTAGGGTCTCGATTGCCACTAGCGTCTTTGGGTGGTAGCATGCAGAATTTCTTCAGCTTCTTGGGTTTGACCAGAGTGTTTCCGGTGGCATCGGCTTCGGGTGTGTGGCTGCTCCGACTGTCTGTCGTGGAGAGAGTGTAAGTCGAGTCGGCACGACTCTCTGGCGGAGGCTGATTCATGATTCCGCTACGGGAAAATTCATAGTGGCCGTACGGACCTCGAGGCCCCTGCGAAGCTGTCTCATGGTGACCCAGGTGCATGGTGCCAATACCTTGGTCTAGCCCAGCAACCGTGGGAACAGGCTGGGGTTCTTCCTCTGCAGTTATCTTCCCCTGACGCACGTCTGCCTCTCTCTGTCTTTGTCGCGCTTCTCGCTCTCTTTGCTCAGCCTCTGCTCGTCTTTGGCCTCTTTCTATTTCCCTCTGTCGCTCCTCTGCCGACATGTGCGTAGTTTCCTCGAGTCTGTTCTGTTGGTCCTTTTCGTGTTCCTTCCTTTCTCTGTCCTGTTCTTGTTCTCGCCTCTTTTCCTCCTTTTGGCGCTCATCCGCTCTCTTCTTCTCCGCCTTTTCCCGTTCTTTGGCCTCTCTGGCCCTCTCCTTTTCCCATTTCTCCTCTAACTTCGTGCGCTCGTTGATCATCTTGTTGCGTGCCTTTACGGCTTTTTGATACTCTTTGAGTGCCTGGTCATGCTCCTTCTCTGCAGCTTTGCGCTGTGCCTTGTCTGTGTATTGTAGTAAATCCACAAAGGGCGGCTCTTGGGGAATGGGTGGTATTTCGGGAAGATTAGGCGGACCATTGTTGGCTTCAGCAGAAATAACAGTATTGAGCTGATCGTCCGAGTAGGCAGGCTCGGAACCTTGGTCATGGTGGTCCACTTGGATACACGGTGGCGGAGAACTTGGTATGGGGTCTGGTTGGATGTGAGTCAACTCCAGCTCCGATGATACCACTGAGAGGCTTCTATTATTCTGTTGTTGCTGTAAGTGGTGGTCAACAGATTCTACCATGTCGCCTGGAGCATTCATTTCGCCGCCCGGGTCCTGATGTGGACAGCTGGGGGAACAGGATGGGGAGGGCGACTTTAAAGGTGGGGAAGTCGGTTTCTTAGGCCTTCCTGTGCTGACCGTGTAATAATTAATGAAGCGGATTCGGGGTACAGTGCATAATTGAGGGTTGCCGCCCTTCCTCTTTGCCTCGTCGTCTTCTTCCAGGGCTCGTATCTTGGCATAGCGGTCCTTCAATCCTCTGTAATCGGCCATGGCACCACCAAACTCCATGTGTGACTTGACAAGGCCTCTGGTAGCTTCTGCTAGACCGTCTTTGTAATGCTTGGTGAGCCAGTGCAAGCTGTTTTCCCAGCCGGACCGGTTAGGCAGACGGACATCATTGGGGAACATGGGATTGTAGTTTGGGTCGGCTGGCTTGGGGTTGAAAAGTGTGCTTGTTCTGGTGAGCTTCTGTTCTGGGTCGGTGTCGGCGGCGATGGCATCTTGTGGGGGTGGGGGTGTATTGAAGATGCTGCCCAGGCCTGCCTTTACGATGCCGGGGTGCATGCCTAGGAAAGGTACGTCAAAGTTTACAATACCAATGATGCGATGGCGAAAGGCCAGGGCAATGTCGGCAGCGAGCAAGCCGCCCATGGAGTGACCGAGAAGGATGGCATCGGTCCACTGGTCTTCATGGGGGGCCAGCCTGGCGACGGTCAGCCATATCCAAGGCGCCCAGGCGTGGGTTCCTACCAGGTTGAAAAATTGTCTCTTGCCACTTGGAGCGAGTCCCTTGATTTGTATCGCGGGTATATCTTGGAGTGGACTACATGGGATTGTGCAAGGGTGACGGTCACGAGGTTGTGGACATGGGCGGGAAAGCTGCGGAAGCTAGTTTCATCGCCCATGAAGCCATGGAGGTAGACTAGCAGTAGGCGGCGGCGGCCAGCGTCGGCCAGCATAGGTTCGGGGACGAGCGACTGGGTCGAGGATGAGCGGGGATCGTGAGAAGACATGACGGTGAGCGAGTAGGGCGGAGGGACGTCTTCACTTGGGGCAGCGTGCCGGGGGGGCAGCGGTGGGCGTTGTTGCTGCTCTGCGCAGCGGGCGTGGGCGGGCGACGTCATAGCTGGGCGAGGGATGGATAGGCTGTGGGTGTGGCTGAGGGTGTGGCGTCGCGTGGGGAGGGCTACATGGCAGATGCAGCCGGTGCAGCAGATGTAGGCAGTAGTTTGGTGGAACAGACACGGGGCCAACGGGGCCAACGGGGCGGGCGAGGGAATGGGCGGAGCGGGAATGCCGGCATCAGCAGGGCCATGGCATGGCGCTCAGCAGCAGTCGAAGAGGGGGAGGCAGCAGCAGCAGAGGTGGAGGGGCAGTGTGGGGTACCAAGGCATCCAAGCCACATGTGGCTGGGGCCGGGGCCGGGGCCGAGGCTGTGGCGCTGTCGCTGGCGGGCCATGGCATGGAACCACGGTCAACGTTTTGTTTTGTTTTCCCGTCTTTGCATGGATGGGCTGTCCTGGGGGCGGCGGGCTAGCGAGCGCAGGCGACCGACATGTATACAGGACAGGACTAGGGCGGTGCACATGTATGCATACAGCAGAGCGGTTAAGATGCAAGGAACTGGGGCGCTGGCAAGACGGGCCTTTGGCAATATTGGCCGTCGACGACAAAGGACACCGGCCCAGGGCGCCTGGGCAATGCGCGCGGCCAGGCACACCACCAGGGCGAGTCGCGCCTTGCAAAGGTGCGACGGCGGTGCACGCGACGCGGCAGCAAAGACGGCCATGGTCGATGCCAAATGTCGATACTCGTCGATAGAGTTGGCCGCCCAGCGCCACAGGCTGCAGGTGGGCGCGGGAGGGGGGCCCATGGGACGCCCAAATCTCCGAAGCGCAGTGCTAGGCGCCGTCACCATGGCCGTCACCATGGCCGTCGCCATCGCCGTCGCCATCGCAGTCGCCGTCGCATCGCCGTCGCAGCCGCATCGCCGTCGCCGCCATGGCGAGCCAAAGGAAATGAAGGCCGTCGTCAGTGCTGCTGGTTCGTCGAGGGCGAGCCGCGTTGATAGATACGGGCGGGCATGTGCGTCGGTGGATCCTTCTATTCCGGGACGCGTTATCTCGCTTGCCCGCCAATCAGCGCCGCCCCAGGCCCCCATGCGCCTCGCGCCTGCTCTCTTGGTCGCTCCCTCGCGCTGCACATGCCAAACAAGCCGTTTGGTTTGCGGTGCCCTGCAATACACGACGACTCCCAACCACTCACCCTCTTGGAGCCGCCGTTGCGCTCTCCTCTCGTCTCCTCGCCGCCCGTCCTCTCCTCCGTCTCCCCTCTCCTCTCCCCTCTCTCCTCTCCCCTCTCCGCCATCTCGCCTCGCTCTCCGTCCATCGTCCAGCCAAGCCCATGCAGCGTCCTTGAGAGAGCCCCCTTCGCGTGTGCGTAGTCCTCTCCGCCGCCGCTCAATCCATTCGCTCGCCCGCCCGCCCGCCCGCCTGTCGTGCACATGTACTGACTGACGCCCTGCCCCAGGCCTCGTTCCTCCGCCGCTCACCAGGCATCCGCTCCTTTAGCAACCTTCACTCGCTTATGCACTCCATCTGCTTCCATTGACTGGATCCCTTGCATCGTCTGCGCGCGTCCTCTCGCACATCCAACTTGCTACACTCCCTCACTTCAACAACACATGTTCTGCCAAGTCGCCGCCGCCGCACTCACCACCCCTACGCCGACTGCATCACCGCGGCCCGTATAGCCCTTGGACGACTCAATCGCTCCTCTTGATGGACGGCCCTGCCACGCCCGCCGACCCATCCAAATTCAAGTCGCGCCACCGCTACCCACGACGCATCTTCTCGCACCACCAAAGGCATCCCGCGCCCGCATTGGACCACGCCCACGACGCTCCAGGCAACGCCAGGCGGCACGCGGCACCGCCAGCCAGAGAGAACATGAGCAAAGGCCATCGCTTCTTCCACCGCCGCCCCGTGCCGGGCAACACCAAAGTCATCACCGTTGCCGTCGAGGTCGTGGACCAAGTGGACAGCAATGGCAGCTTGGCCGCCCAAGAGACGCTAGCCCCGGTAACGCTCCAAGCCTCGCACGATGCAGTAATCACGCCGCCCGCCGCGCCCACTGTGCCCGCCGCCCTGCCGACAGTGTCTGCCCTGCCCACTGTGCTTGCTGTACCCTCTGTGCCTGCTGTGCCTGCTGTGCCCGCCATGCCCGCTGTGCCATCAGTCGCGCCCGCTCTGCCTGCCGTACCGCCTGTGCCTGTGGTGTCTGCCGTGCCAGTGCCTGCACTACCCTCTGTGCCACCAGTACCGCCGTTTCCTGATAATCTGCATGTGCCCAGCGTCCCTGCCTACCCTTTTTCCACCGGCAACGCTCTCGCACAAGTCGCAGCCCCATCGCCGCCGTTTCCTGTGTCGTCAAGCCTGCCTACACGTCCTCCAAGTCCCGTCACCCCACCTGCGGTCCCAACGCCAGCGCCCGTCTATGCTTCCAGCTCGGCTGCCAACACGACAACACCAGGTAAGCGCCTCACATGCACTCGTGTGCTTGCACCGCTGACATGGCATAGCCGCGGCATCACTACTGGCATCTTCTTCACTCGCTTCGCTTGACAGCATTTCAGCCTCGACGGCAACAGGCCTTTTTGCATCAATCGCAGCAGCCCCGTCTCGCCCTGCGTCAGTCTCTACCTCAGCTTCAGCTTCACAGTCTTTACCGTCGTCCATACAGACGTCATCCACGCAATTATCAAGCAGCTCCCAGTCTACTCGCACTACTGTGACTGCTTCACAAGCTGTATCCACAGCAGCCTATCCCAACGGCGGCTATGGCGGGGGCGGCGAGACACCTGGAATGGCGCCTGCCCCTGCTGCCACCACCTCGGCCATTGCGGGTGCTAACTCTAGCCCTTCTTCTCTCGAAACCCCCAAAGTGGTTGGCAGTGTAATAGGAAGCCTTGCTGGTGCTGCACTGATCCTGGCTCTCATCTTGCTGCTCCTACAGCGTCATAAACGGAAACGAGACGGCGCTCTGCAGCTCACTGGCGACGACCACACCGAAACCAACCGATCCATGACGCAAGCACCTGCTACACGTAACACCCTCATTCCTGCTTTGTTCCTCCATCGCTTCTCTGGCTTGTCTGGTAAAACAGGAGAAACCAACCTGAGCGGCGGCGAGCGAAGCTTTCAGCGCGTCTCAGGTCGCAAATTACCATCTGCATTCAGTGAAGGTCTCACGTCCGACCAATTCACTCGTGGCGGGACAATGTCTGGTTCGTCATTCTACCAAGATGACCATAGCACCTATGGCGGCGCAGCTATCTCCAAAGAATTTGGCAAGGAGATTGGCAAAGAGATATGCGGCCCCGCTATCACGCGCGAGTCGGGACAAATGAATATCCGGCCCAGTCCGGCGCGAACCCCAGTCATTCGACACCCCGACGACGGGAACCCTTTTGCCTCAGACCAGGACTTTCTGAGTCCACCACAGTCTCCTAATCCTGAATTGCCTGCTAGAGGCTCACTCGGAAGAAGCTTGCACTCTGCCGATGGGTCGCGCTCGAGCAGATTTACCGAGAATGTCTGAACGACCTGTTAACCTTTGATTACCCCAGCTTCCTTTTTCGCTCTTATTTCCAACCTCTTACTTCACGACACGCATGAATATGCATCCTGCTTACTTTGCCTCGTCACGGGCACTTTGCAACTGTTGGCTGTCTGGACTTGTTATACCCCTGGATCGGCTCGACATGCTACATCACTCACCACATACTGTCCTTTATTTCGTTCGCCAAACCAGCGGCCGAAAAGTAATGTCTTTTCCGTTCTCTACTACCTATTGTCGTGTTGTCCTTCTTTTTTTTTCAATTGCGTTCGATTCTCCACGACGCTGCCCATGAACAGAGCGGCGTACAGTTTCATACCCCTAGGCTGGCCTGGAGGATAGAGATACATCTCCAGGTTTGGCACTTTGTTTATATCGGACCTGTGGTCCGTGTATATATTCTCGCTACACTTGATCCAAGGTAGCCTCGTGCATAGGGTTGCTATATGTTTCACGTATTGTGAAGGATGTGCTAGGGATCGGGATGGGGAGTAGAGGTCTTGTAGATAGGACTGGCAGGCTCTACAAGAGTCACAGTGCCAAAACCCAAAAAGTATAGTCTTGCATAGCTATCTAGTTGGCCTCTCCACTGTCTGAAATGCGAGTGAAGTGGATTTCTACGTAGCCTTCGACCCTGAATACGTGGGTCTCGGGGGATCCAGTGACGAGCATGCCTACGGTTCTTCGCCTAGTTGTGGCTATTCGTCTCTCAAAGTGGCTTATGCCTTGTAGATTGGTGATGATAGTCATGCTATGGATCAGCGTACCACGTGCACATTGACATTGATGTGCTTAGCCACGACTTTTGATGACCGAAGCTCAAGCACTGTGTCGACATGGGCCCAAAGCCTGAACCTGCATGCATTAGCGTATTGACAAGTACAACAACAATGCTCATGTGTTTCTCTTGGTGCTCAGGCTGACACGAAGAAGGTCCTATTCACTCTGTCACAACCTAGGCAAAAAATACCGCTCTTTGGGTAGCGAGGCCATGTTACATGGGTTTCATGTATATGATTCCATGTACCATTGACAGACTGACTGCCTTTGTATTGGCCATGTTGCCATGGAACGTACGAGTCAGTGAGCACCAACAAACAACAATAAACGCACGTGACATGTATGTGAAAACGATGAAGAAGCAAAAAAGAAAACTTGACTATCCTCAACGGCTCTCCGATCCCTCAACAACTAACCTCGTTGCCATGTCTCTGTGCCTGTTGGCCGCCAAGTAGGTCTGACATGGTGGGTCGTTTAGGATTTTAAAAAAATGTTTGTTTAATTTACGAAATAACCCATCACTCAAGCATCACACTCGCGAATGGCTTAGTTTCTGGAGTAGGGTTCCAGGTATTACTTCGGCTTCTCTCTCTCTCTCTCTCTCTCTCTCTCATCATGTCTCAAGGGTATGCTCATGATGCGGGGAAACAAAACTCGTGTGTATTATTGTCTCGACATCATTAGCCTTTTCAAGTATCCAACATATACAGTCAAGGATCCTATCATGGCCAAGGTGATGCAGGGACGTGATGGGGAGACTTTGAACATGATTTATTAGTATCAATTCTTTTTTTTCTTCGACAACTATATCTCTTTCAACATGACATTTCTCTTAATTTCGTAGTTGCAGCTAGTGAGTTTGGAAATAAAGCCAAGGGCCAAGGGGTACTGTGAGAAATGGTAAATCCACCACTGTACATTGGGGCAGCGATTGATCATCGCAGCACCAAGGAAAGATAAGCATGGGCTTACCGTGGAATTAGTAGGCAGAGGCGGAACGGCAAATGTGGAGATAAAAGGCAAGCAGCTGCAGGGACTTGGATACCCCGTCATGTGCGGCAGATGAATGAATTAGGGGTATATGCATCCAAGGAAATTAAGAATCTGACAGTTCAAGGCCCTCAGTGTAACAGCACCCTGCATGACGCCAAAGAAGACCCTAGCATCTTTGGTCATGCGAGCCAGGCTTCTACATGGTGATTCAACTTGTAGGAAGAAGGAAGAAATAAGCGTCCTATTTTTGGCTCCTTTGCTTCTCTGCTTCTCTCCCTGGGGTCCTGCATATCCATCAACCTACATCGAGACATCCTCTTCTTTACCTATGAGTACTAATGCGTCTATACCAGTTACTATGGGGGGAGTCTTGGTGATTTGTTACTACAATGATTAATCACTACATTATTCTGAAACTAAACTGCACGTCTGAATAACAAACACTCGTAGATACTACATATGGGGAATAGATCTCAACGATAATGGATATAGAATGTGTCCAGCTCACATGGCCCAGATGCTTTTTGAAAAGCAAGCATCTTGGACGGCAAAAGCATCTTGGAACAAGGCATTTTTGAAGACGAGTAGTATTTTGATACACTAAAAAAGAGCGTTATTACATCCTCCGCTCATGCCACGTCTCCTGGTATCTATACCCAACACCTATACTAAGTAGCCCGACTGATAATTATACTGAAGCAGAATGGATTAAATGAATGAAAAATCTATCAAGACGCTAACTGATATCAGAAAGAGAGAGTGAGACAGAGAGAGAGAGAGAAAAGGTTCCACATCCAACACGCCCCCATCCATATTTGGAAAATGCAAAAAGAAAACACTAGGCAGAGGCCATGAAGAATGAGAGAGGTGACAAACACGAAAAAAAAGATGCAAACTATGCTTGCAGGTCCGACAACGCCGTAAGTTGTATGCAATGCTGACTCAAGGGAAAAACGCCTTTTCGTCCACATCCCTATGCTTCGTCCTCTTTTCACGACTTAACCCATGGGTTTGTTCATCAGAACCTTGTCGGGTACCGTCTCCATACAAGCTTCCGACTGACTTGGTAGTATGCGTGAATACCTCTAGAATGTAGCGGAAGCAGGGCACGAAGAGCCGTGTGAATGGGCATGATAGCATGGTCGGCGACGACCTAGAGCTCCAAACACGATCGAGACCACATGGGTGCAGGTCGATTCGAGAAGATGTTTCACTTTGATCCAACGAGCAGTTCTGCTCCAGGAACATTATGACCAAAATCCAGGATCAGCGTCCTACCGTCTTGGCTGGTAGCAACCACTCGCCTGTAGTCGCTCTTGGCTGACAGAATCCAGCTCGTTGTCCAGTTTTTGTAGACGGCATATGTTTGGCCGGTTTCGTAATCAGATACCTGAATGCTCTGGTCGTAGGATCCGGATACGATGCGTCCGTTGAATGCGTCGAGGAACAATGAGCGGACAAGACCATCGTGCTTCACCCTGCTGTGCACAAGCTCGCCGGTAGAGGCGTCAAACTTGTACACTACATGGTCGTTTCCGCCAGCAAGAACATACTTGGCATCATCTGAAAACTCGACGGCAGCAAGACCACGGTCTTCGGAGGGAAAGTCCTTGATGGAGACGCCGGTCTCGAGGTTCCACAGCTTGGCTACACCGTCACCGCTGGCGGAGACGAGGAAGTTGCCGCGAAGCTGCACAGCATTGACTGGGCCTCGGTGGCCCTTGAGCGTGCGGAGACAGTTGCCAGTCTTGCGGTCCCAAACCTTGATCATGGCATCCTTGGAGCAAGAGATGATGTACTTGTCGTCCAAGCAAACATCCAAGACACCAGCTTCGTGACCACGGAGCCGGTACATGGGGACATATTCTTCGCCGGTAATGTCCCAGACGATACATGTGTAATCGGATGAGCCCGTGACCATAATCTCGCTGTCGTACTGGAGGCAGAGAATGGATGCATCGTGGTAGTCGGCGGGAACAGTGTAGATGTCGTTGCCAGCCGGGGTGCCGTTCATCGAGGCATGGCTGATGACACGCTCCGGTCGCTCCTCCATGGGTGGGGGAGTGTTTGCTGTCGGGCGGTGGTTGGGACCGCCGTATACCTTGATGCACTTGTACGTCTCGAGATCCCACACACGGATGGTTCGATCGCGTGAGCCGGTAATGGCCTTGTTCTCGTCGAATTGGCAGCAGTAGACACTGTCGGTGTGGCCATTGAGGTAGATGGCAGCAGGAGCACCAGTCTTCCATCGGGCGTCAATGGTGGCCCTAGCCTCGAACATCTTCTTCCAATCTTGTGCGGGAGCAGGGTTGCCACCAGCCATCTTGCCCGTACCCAAGCCGCCCATCTGGATGGGGGCAGGTGAGACGTGTACCTCGGGCTCGTGCTTGCGGAGGAAGACATTTCGCCAGACATGGGGTGAGGCGGCATGCTCGTTCCAGCTTCGGGATACTCGCTCGGCACGGACAAGGGAGGCGGCGTCGAGGTTGGAGAGGACGGTGGTGACGAGTTCGGCAGGTAGGCGTTGGAAAGGGTCGACTAGAAAGCCATTAGCAAGGGCTGAGGGGCCATTGGAAGCAAGCGACTTACTCATCTTCTTTTCGGTGACGCTATCGGCTCGAACAATGGGCGAGGCACACGTCATGTCGACGCCGCTCTCGTTGTCCTTGATGTCATCGTCGCGCGAGCTTGGGATGAGACCATTGAGGAAGCGTTGCGTGTGTTCCTGCTCGCGACGTAGCTGGTTTTGGCGGTCCTGGTTGGCGGCGGCGGCAGCTTGTCGTGCTGCGGTGCCGGGTACGGCTTGGCTGGGGTATGTGAGGGGGCATGTGAAGACGGACTTGGCCACGTCGGTCGACGACGCAGGGGCGGTTGGGCGACGACGCATGCTGCTCAGGCGCCTGAAGGGAGAGAAGGTCTTGGAGCTCGAGGGGGTCGACTGGGACTGCATTGGGAAGGCGGGGATTCCAGAGTCTTGGTGTTGCAGAGGCACTCGCTGCAGGTCCGGGTTGGGCTTGGACTGGGTTGCGGCCGAGGGAGGAAGAGATTCGAAGAGCGAATGTATGGAGCCGCGGCGGCGCTGTGAAGGTGTGGCTGAAGAGACGGACGACATTCGCCTGCGAGTCTTTTGGCGGGTGAAACTCCCGGCCACGGCGCCAAAGGCACGCGAGAAGGAGCTGGCCTGTGAATGCTGCGAGGCGCCGTCGACGGCCATGGTGGCCTCGTTGACCGCGTCGAGCATGTTGGTGTCCTTGATGTCAGAGACATGGGGGGCAGGGAACGTCTGCGAAATGGTTCGCTTCATGGTGTGGGGTGGCGACGCCGGGATAGGGGTCGTGCTGGAAAGGGAGTGGGTGTTGTGGTGGTGCTGGAGGTAGGAGGAGGAAGAGGAGGAGGAGGATTCAGCGTCTATGTCGGAGGAGGTCTTGGGCCGATGCGACAGGATGGACTGCCTGCGATACATTGGATGTGTTGACAAGGGAGTGGCAAAGAGTTGCGGTGAAGGCACGACTGAAACAAAAAGCGAAGCGTGATGGTGCAGCAGTAGCGGTGGCAGCGGCAGGAGCGACAGCAGCGGCAGCGACAACAACAACAACAAGACGACAAGGACAACGACTAGGGCAGCAGGCGCGGAAAGACGAGGAGACGGCGGCAAGGAGCGTCGTTGGTCGGGCTAAAGAGAGCAACACGAGGGCGTGCGTGCGTGCGGGAGCGACTAACAGACGGAGAGCTGGGGCGGAGCGGATAGAGAGCGTGCACCACAACGACGACGACGACGACGACGACAACCTTGACGCGATTCAGCCCCAAACCGTGGGAGAGCGCGCGTGCACGGCGGCGTGGCAGCAGCAGCAGTGGCAGCAGCAGCAGCAGCAGCCGCAGCAGAGGAGGGGGGAGGGGGCACAGGTGGAGTCGACGAAGCCCGAGACTGCTTGCTGGCAATATCGGCGAGGGTTGCTTGGGCAGGCAAGACGCGCCGACAGGGGCCTGGTTGGCTTGGGGCGAGTTAATGTGCGAAGAAAAAACGAAGCAGGGTTGGACGAAGAAGCAGAAGCAGCGGCAGCAGCTGGCGGCGGCGGTGACGACGACGACGACGATGATGGATGGATGGACGGATGGATGGATGGATGGATGGGGTGTGGGTGGGTGGTGGAGGTGGTAGTCGGGTGGTAGTAGTGTAGGTAGTAATAGTAGGCGTAGGTGTAGCAGCAGGCGCAGGCGTAGTGTGTAATAGCCACGTCCGCAGTGGCCCGGTAGGCGCGGGTTGGGTGCAGGTGCAGATACAGTGCAGTGCAGCGCCGTGCAGCGCCGCGCCGCGCCGTGCAGAGCAGCCAGCAGCAAGCCAGCGCGATAAGATGTGTGCTGCTGCTGCTGCTGTTGCTGCCGCTGCTGTATGTAATTTGCCAGGGGGTGGAGCCGCGACACACTGGGAGCCGCCGTCGCCGTCTTGAGATCGGCTGCACTAGCAAGCAAAGCACTCGTTAGCGGTGCAACAGATTCTGCCCTCCATTTGCCTCGAAGCGTCTCTTAGTACTTATGCTACACCTTCTCCCGCTGATCAGCCCTTGTTCCGCATCCTTGTTTTTCCGCCGCCCACCACCACCACCCTCCTCCTCTCCTCCCGACACCGCCGCCCGCCCTCCGCCCGCCGCCGCCCCCGACTCCTCGCAGCCCGCCTCCCTCACCCTCCTTTCTCACCCGCCCTCGCTGTTGTTGCCGTTGCTGCTCTTCTTCTTCTTCTTCTTCTTCTTCTTCTTCTTCTTGTTGTCGCGACGCGAAACCAAACCACTGCCGCTCAAACATGACGGCTTCGACTGGACCCGTGGCAATACCGGCGCTGTACCGTTGCATCTTCCTGTGGGTGGAACCATGTTCCATCATGGCGGGCGCCGTGTGTGCTGCATGCTTCCAGACGACGTACCTGGACCTGACGATGCATGCCCCGAGCGCTCCCGACGGGCTCTCGCTCACGCCCATCTCAACAAAAATCGTCCTGTCGCAGCTGGCAAACATGTACCTCGGACTTGCTTTTCTCGAGGCCGCCGTGCTCCGCGCCACGGCCGACGTCAACGTCTGGCAAACGTTTCTCGTCGTGCTGCTGCTGGCCGACGTTGGGCACCTCTGCTCGCTGCTGCCGCTGGGCGCCGACGTGTACTGGGCGTTTTGGCGCTGGAACGCCATGGACATTGGCAACATTCCCTTTGTCTACTTCCTGGCCGCGACGCGCATCTGCCTGCTTGCCCGCGTCGGCTTTGGCCACGGCCACGGCCAGCAGGCCAAGGTGCGGCGGGATTAGCGACATGGCCGAGTATGTAGGCGCCCCAGTTGGGGTGTGGTGGTGGAGGAGGGGGCCCATGGAAGGCGTGGTGCATTGGCGGGCATGACCATCGCAATTTCTCATTGTCGACAAGTGCTTCTGTTTCCAAATCACAGCAATTTCTGTGCACGCCTGCGGTTGCGCGGTGCTAGCGCGCTGGCTATGCCTCTTGGACGAGGGGCCCGCCCAGGGTAGCCTCGCCTCGCCTCGCCTGGCCGCCCCCCAAATGCCATAGCCGGCAACACACCCGAGCCCAAAGCGCATGGCCTCTTGTTTACCCCAGACCCACGGCCTGCTGCTGCTGCTGCTCCCACGCCCTCGCCCTCGCCCTGGGTCTATTCCCCTCGCCGCGCTCCCCTACACCCTGTCGGCTCACCTCACCCTCGTGCTCACCTTGTCTCACACCATCAACTTTGTTCTCACCGCCCGAGCCCCCGCCGGCGCTGCTTCACCACCAAACCCTCACCGCTCTCTGCCCCCCCCCCCCGGCCTCCGCAAATAGCAGCTTTCCCGCACGCCACCCTCGCCTTCCCATGGGGCCCTCTGCCGCTCAACACTGCGCTTCTCGGCAGCCCGCGACTCGATGCCCTTCACCACTGCACTGCACGTACTACATGTACACCACGCACATGTTCTCCCGCTTCGCCCTGCCCATGACCTGCATGCAGCCTGCCGAGAATAGCTTGTCATGCCGCCACGCCTTCGCCACGCCCTCGCCTCGCCTCGCCAACATACCCAACTCTGTCGTGCCCTGCATGCTCGCCCCATGCCAGACATGACCCGCGGCCGCCTCTCCGGCAACACGGCCCCAACGTCATGCTACCACTACCGCCACCACGACTAGCTGTGCTGCTAGAGTCGCAGTTTTTTTCCCACTCGCTGAGCACTCTCGCTTTTTGGCCCAGTCCCGACAAACAAGAGCCTGCCTCTTTGTTTCTCCCGAGCCCGCCCACACGCACCCGCGCGTACCATGGTACCGCTGCAGTAGGCTATAAGGCATCCCTCTCGTGCCATGTCAAGTCACGCCGTCTCGACGTCTTCGTGCCTGGTACCATGGTTGCTGACCGCGTCTTGGCCGCCTCGACAATGTTCTGGTCCTGGCCAAAAAGGGTCCAGACGATGGCCGTGCTATGCCTCGCTGTTCAGCCCCTCGTCATGTGTACCCCCCCCCCTGAGAAAGACGAAGCGGGGTGAACGCTGTGATGTTGCTTGACCCCACCATGGCCATTGCCATTGCACAAACACGCGCATCCACATCCAAACAACGGAAGCCCCCCCCCTCTCTCTCTCTCTCTTCCTCCCTCCCTCCGTCCTTTTCGGTGCTTTGTGTCATTGTCATCATTGCTCTGCCATGCATGTGCGAAAAAAAAATTGCTACCTGGAAAATTTGTTTTCCGCTGCTGACGTCTTGCAGCTTATACATCATCCTGACGTCACAACACTCACCACACACACAGCACACACACACGCACACACACACGTGCTGACCCGACGACCAAACAGCTCCCATGTCCATGCATGTCCAAGTGCAGCCTGCGTACACCTGAGCATGCGAGGGTACACGCACATACGGTAGGGGACTCCATGACCGGAACCACGCACACGCAACCTGGCGCCTGGCAAACCAAACCAAACCCACTCTCAACCCCTCGTCCATGTCTGTTTCTCTCTGAGTCCACCATGAATCTATGTATGGATGACTCAAGAAGAGAACAAGAGAAAAAGAAAATCCCTCTCTGCTTGCATTGAATCCCAAGCATGACAGTGGCGAGAGAGAGAGAGAGAGAGAGAGAGAGAAAGAGATAGAGTCAACCATGTCTCGATCAAACGGATCCCCATGGCCAATGCCCGTCAATCGCGTCTTGGCTGCGTCGCCATCGTCGAATGGGTGGGGGGGCGAGAGGTGTCTTCGTCGTCACCATTCCGTTTCACCTACCGCACCACCAGAACCAATGTCTGTATGGGTTGTATGCCAATAAAGAGTGAAAACAAACACGCCCATACGCCTACACACCTACACACACACACACACACACACACACACATACAAAGGAATATTACATGCAACAAAGCGACAATGACAGGCTAGCCAGTAGCTTCACACGACGCAAGCCGCAAGTGGTAAGCAAGAAAGCAAAAAATAAAATAAAGTCTTTTTCGCAAATCGCCCATGCATGACAATGCAGTTTCACTCGCCGCGCCAAGTGTCTACAAAACGCCTGGCTGCTTTTGCTCCACTAGTCTTCCCCCCCCCCTCCCCTTCGGAACTTTGCTCTTCCTTTCTCCCTTTTCGCCTGCCAAAACACCATTCGATTGATTATTTGGGTGTAAAAAAAAACTGTCCAGGACTCTCTCTCTCTTGTGTCCGTGTGTCTCACTCACACCCATACATGACTCAGCCAACACACCATGGTCCAGACAAACCTGAGACATGAAACACTGCCATGATTGATTCCAGTGATTGCTTTCTTATGCACAACCACACAAACACAACGGCGGCTAGCAAGAGAAAGACGCGGGGTATAATTATCCACACCATGCCCAAATAACTTCGTCCAAAATATATAAATAATAGAGAAAAAGTGCCCCCTCGCAAAAAAAAAAATACCGCAGAATCAAGAAAAATGGGGAAACCATATAGAGAGAGGGCCTTTGCGGCATAACAATAGACTGGGAAGATAAACCAAAAACAATAACCCCTCCAAGAAAGAAAAAAAACCTCCCCCTGCATGGACAAAATTCCCTTTGACAAACACCCAAAGTGATACATCGGCTTGATCCCATGTACCACGCCCGGCAACCGCTTCGGTCAAATAATCGCTCACAACAATCGGCCGTGATAAGCAACAACAACAAAAAATAAACAACACCCCGAGCACACCCACAAAAAAAAACTCCGTGAAGCTAAACAAAGCCAATCAGCAAAAGCATACACGGCAGGAAAAATGATAATACAATGCAAATAGTTGGAAAAAATGGCCCAAGGGCTCGTCAAATGATCAAACCGTTTATGACACACATGTGCGTCAACCAATACACACACACGCGCGCTCTGTCTCTCTGTCTCTCTCTCTCTCTCTCTGTGTGTGTGTGTGTATCTCTCCCTCCACCAAGGTGGTCAAATCATGGCCCCAGAATAGACGGGTCCAGTGTTCCCCCCATGCTGTCCATCGTCTTCTCCAGCATGTCGAGATCCATCATGGTCCCTGCACCATAGTCGGAAAACAGCATCATGTCTTCGCTGTCCATCGGGGGAAGCACAACCCCCAGGTTTTGGAGATCCTCCGACAGCTGCAGGTCCACGGGAAGCGTATCCCCGTACATGCCCACGGCCCAAGCGTCGGGCATGTCGGCATCCTTGAGATCAATGTTGATGACAAGATTGTCGTTTTCCGAAATGTCAGATTGCCGCGTCGAAGGCGTGTCCTTGGAAGATGACTCGGGCGTCGTCGACGGTGACGCCGGCCGAGACCGAAGCGCCCACGCATTGTCTTCGTCCTTGAGATCGAGCACCGTAAAAGGCCCGTTTGCATCCAGAGCCGCAAAAGTGTCCTCGTACGAGTAGTCGAAAAGCGACATGGGTAACATGGGCTGCTGCTGTTGCTCCTCTTCCTTTACAGCGGGTTCCGGTGCTGCCGCTTGCTGCTCTTTTGGTGCTGACTTGGGAATACTGGCTGGCGTGGCCTTGCCCCGCGCACCTGAGCCTGGAGTAGTCACCTTGGTCATGGTTTGCGGTGTCTTGAGCAAGTTGGACGACGGTGAGTCCTTAACACCCGTCTGTGTCGGCACGCGCGCCATGGCCGGAGCTGTTGGTGCTTGCGCGACAGGCGTAACAGCATTTTGCGTTGCACCAGGTGTTTGCTCAGTCTTGACGTTCTGTGTCAGCGCTCGCAGCACGGCAGGTGCTGGCTTGGGGGTAGGCTTCGAAGCATTGGGATCGACCTTGGCCTCACCCGTCTTCTGGTCAACGTCGAGATATTCGGCCATGGAATCAAGGGCAAATTGCATCGGGTCCTCGACCTTTGCGTGGATCTGACTGTGCGAATCGAGCTCGGCCTGGGTGTCAAAGCCTCGTACAGAGTATTCACATGTTGCGTCGGTGCATCGGAACGTTGGCCGCTGCGGCACCTGCTTATCGGGCGCTGGCTGTCTCCGCAGTTCGGGCGAGTTGCCTGCGCCCGAGCCCAGGTGAGGAGAGGCTTTGGCAGCGGGAGTCGACGTTTGGCTGCCCGCCTCGAGCTTGGCCCGCTTCTTCTCGGGTAATACAAGATTCGTGACTGGTCTTGCCCCCTCAAAGTAATGCGCGGCTCCGTGGCCAGGGTCGGCGCCAATGGCAAATGGTGGTCGGTCGGTCGTAGGGGCTGACGGAGCCTTTTGGTTGCGGTTTTGTTGTTCTACGATTTTCAGATTTGCGGCATTAAGTTGAGCGGGCGAGGCATTCGAACCCTGAGGTTGGGACTGCTGGGCACCTGAGCCCTGACCCTGCGTTTGTTGCTTCACCTTCTCCTGAATCTTGATAACAAACTTGACAATGGTACTCAAATGATTCCTGAACTCGTCGATTGTCAGTGTGACTTGGGGGTGGAGGGTGCCGTCGGCCTCGTTAATCTGTTGAAACAAGAGTGCGCGCGACCGCATGATTTGGCGTATGACGGGCTCGGGTTCTGAAGTATCGTACGAAGCATGGAAGATGCGAAGCGCCTGGTCCGACTGCTTGAGGCGTTGGAACTGTTCCTTTAGCGACTTTTGAAGAGCTGCACGGGCTTGCGGAGCCAGTTGTATCGGTTGCTTGGTGGGGATGCTCTTCTCTACCTCATCCATCATTTGCTTGAATTGTCGGATACGTGCTGGGTCACTCATTCTCTGTCGAAGTTCTTCAGAGTTGAGCATAGCGCCGCGCTGTTGTTGCATCTTGTTGTTGGATGCATCTTGAGCTTTAAGTAACTGTGCTCTGTACTGGGCATGCTGTGTGGGAGTGAGCTTAGACATTTGCTCTTGGGTCAGATTAAGACCAGGCTGAGACTTTGTAGAGGCCATAGCAGGGGCTTGTGGGGCGGCGTCAGGGCCAGAATCCATTTCCTCGTTTGGCCTCTTCGTACCCTTATTCGCGACATTGTTGGCAGCGTGCAACTGTGCAGGTGGTGCTTGTTGTGGTTTTGGTGCTGGTTTGGGTTGAGGCGTCGCTTGTGCAGCCGGCTGTGCCGTGGGTGGCCGGTTAGGCTGCTGTTGCTGCTGCTGCTGTTGTTGCTGCTGCTGTTGTTGTTGTTGTTGTTGTTGTTGCAGTGGCAGTGGTTGTTGTTGTTGTTGTTGCTGCTGCTGCTGCTGCTGTTGTTGTTGAGGCATAGAAACAGGAGCTTGGCCTTGGTTACGTTGGGCCTGCTGATTGAGCATTGCCGATTGTTGCTGCTGCTGCCTCTGTTGTTGCAGGTTCTTCATCCTCATCGAGATCATGAGACCGCGTAGTTGGTCGTCTGGCATGTTGGCTTGTGGCTGACCTGCCATTCTTGCGCGGAATTGCTGCAACTCTTGAGGCGTCACCTGGAGCGCGGCCATGTTCTGCATGTTTGGCTGCTGCTGCTGCTGCGGTGTCCTGACAGGACCCTGATTGGGGTTGACTTGGCCTGGAGCAACAAGCCCCTGCCCAGGCTGTGGTGTGGGGTGTACACCAGGGACGCCATTTGATTGTCTTACCATGTCCTGGAAGTGGAGGACCTGCAGCATGAGCAACTTTTGGCTGTCGACACCGGGAACCAGAGCAGGGTTTTGGCTAGCCCACGCTTTGAGCTGTTGCCAAGTCCTGACGTCTGGAGGGAGGCTCTGCCGGATTTGGGCATTCAAGACATTAGGAGGGAACGGCTTGGGATCGGTGGTATGTATGATGCCCGGGTTAGCACGGAGCAGGTTGGATGCGGCAGCAACTCGCTGCTGCTGGTTCGGTATTGCTGCACGCTGGGCACCCATTTGAGGTTGCGGGCCAGCGCCAGGTGGCGGTTGGGCGAGATTCATACCAGGCCGAACCATGTTCTGCATATTAGGACCGCCAAGCATTTGGCCAGCAACGCCAGGCTGAAGCTGTTGTTGTTGCTGCTGATTAAAGGCCATGTTAGGTTGGCCTCCGTTGGGCTGACCAGGTGGAAAGGCTCCGTTGGGCATGCCGCTGTTTCGACGGAGGTTCATCATATAGCTCTGCAGAATGACGCGGAATTGGTGCTCGGGCACCTTGAGTAGCTGCTGCTTGACAGAAGCATCCAGGTCGGGAGGCATCATGCTCATACGGACCTGATCGGTCAGCGGTTGCTGGTTGGCTTGCTGGACAGCGGCAGCTCTCTGTTGCGCCTGGCGCATGAGCTCGGATAGATTTGGGTCAGCCTGTCCAGGCTGTGGCGTCATTATAGGGACGTGGGCTTGAGGAGGGCGTTGCTGTGGTGTGCCTGGAGGGCCCTGCTGCCCTGGCGGAGGCATGGGACGGTTGAGCATAGGCATGGCAGGACTGGGTTGCTGGGTGCCCTGGGGAAGGTTCAATCCACCAATCTGCCCTTGGAGCAGTTGATTTTGCTGATTACGCGCCTGAGCAGCCTGTTGCTGGCGCTGCTGTTCCAAGCGGGCCTGTACCTGTGCCTGTGCCTGAGCCTGGGCTTGGGCATGGGCTTGCTGGGCTTGTTGTGCTTGTGCCTGGCGATGAAAAGCCTCGGCCTGGCGCTGTGCCATGGCATTTTGAGGCTGGCCCGGCTGTGCATTTTGGCCCTGGAATCCGCCCATCTGAGCGCCATTGTTTGGGTTGTTGCTGGCGGGTACCACTGTTGTACCTTGGTCCTGACTTCGCATCGCCTCCATCTGCCGGTTTGCGATTTCGGTGAAGTCAAAGTCCTGGTTGGCTTGACGCTGATTCATGTTCATCTGCTGGCCCTGCATGCGGTTCTGCTGAGGGGCGCCCTGCATGGCGGCGGCGTTTTGGCCCTGTGCGGGCTGATTCAGCGCGCCTCTTCGATACAACATCTCGGCGTGCTGGCGGAAGCGGAGGAAGAGGGGATTAATGCCCTGGTTCAGCAGCTGCTGCTTCTTATCCTCGGGCCAGGCGCGGATATCCGCCTCGAACTTGACGCGAACCTCCTCTTTGCACGTGTCCATGAGCTTCTTGGCAAACTGGTTGATGATCATCTGTTCTTGGCGGTTTTGTGGGGTCGGCGTGGGCTGCATGTTTGGTTGCTGGTTGTTTTGCCCTTGGGCCATGTTGGCGGGGTTGGCTCCGTTGACGCCCATGGACGACTGGCCTTGTGTCATGGGGACGGGCGAAACCTGCATGGGGCGCTGGAGCTGGGCGTTGGGAAAGGCCGGGTTGAACTGCTGTTGCGTGGGCTGGCGGGCGGGCTGCTGGCCCATTTGGCCCATCATGTTCATCTGGGCGGGGTTCATTCCGTTGATGGGGTTGTTCATGTTGTTGGGGACGCCGCCCTGGATGCGCTGCAGCTGCTGCTGTCGCGCCGTCGTCATGACTATCAGCTTCTGCTTGATCTGCGAGACGTACTGCTCCTTGGAGGGGGCCGACATGAAGTTTTGCGTCTCGAACTGGAGGGCGGCTCGCATCGACTCGACTTCGGGGATCTCGGGTTTGAGCAGGCGGTACTGGGTGAAGAACTGCAGGGCGAGCTGGCCGCGCTCCTCGGGCGGCGTGGCCTGCTGCCATCCATTTGGAATCTTGCCCTGTTGCTGCTGGACGCGATAGTGCTGGATGAAGTGGTGGAGGCCTGCCGAGGCGCGACCTTGCTGCATGCCGTTCTGTTGCATGTTGGGGTTGTTCATGGCGACGCGCGGAACGTCGAGGGCGCGCTAGGTCGCAAGCTGGCGGAGCGACGGGCGATGGACACAGCGGTGCAGTGCCGCGGATGTGCAGACACCAGCCGCACTCATGCAGGACGCGGGTTTCCAAAAATACGGCGGGTGGGTTGGTTGCGGTGATGGTGGTCGTGTGGCCGAGTGCGGGCAGATGGCGGGCGGCGAGCAGGCGACTTGGTGTGAGGGAGTGAGAGTGAGAGTGGGAGTGGGAGAGAGGGAGCGGGAGGGAGGGCGAGAGGGCAGGAGGCCGGGAGCCACGTGCGGGCGGTGAGGATGACGGGGAGGGAAAGGCGTCGAGGGCAGCAGCTTGTGGGTGGAGGAGAGGGCGCAGGCTGTATGGGTATGGGAGGGGGGGTTGTGTGGAAGGATGGAGGGAGAGCGGGTGGAGACAGGGCCAGCAAGCAGCCAGCACGGCGGAGTGAGGCTTGGAGGAGGGAAGGGCAGAGGGCGCGAGGACACAGCGGTCGACAGCACGCCAGCTGCGGCTCGATGGTGTGTGTGTGTGTGTGTGTGTGATCGACGGCGGCGTTAGCGCAGCAGCAGCAGCAGCAGCACAGCAGCACAGCAGCAGTGGCAGCACACAGCCTAAGGCGCCTAAGGTGAGCTGTGGCAGATGTCGGGCCCCGGGGTGGTGCAGGCTAGCAGTGCAGATGCAGCAAGCGAGGGAGAGTAGTGGGAAGGGAAGGGAAGGGAAGGGTGGGGAAGGGCGTTGCAGCCGCGGAGCTGAGAGGGGGATGCTGGGAGCAGCGCCGGCTCAGCACCAGGAGCAAGATGGCAGAGGGCGAGGCAGAGGCGGATGGCGGATGGCGGATGGCGGATGGCAGCGAGAGGCAGCCAGACGATGGCGGCGGCGGCAGCGGGCGGGCGGGCGAGCTCTGGCTCAGCAGCAGCACCAGCTCAGCAGCAACCAAGCACTGGCACCAAGCACCAAGCACCAAGCAGCGCGAGTGGGAGCAGCACCCAGCAGCACGCAGAGGCAGGTGCAAGCCGTGCACAGGGCAGTTGCGCCTGGCGCCGTCGCACCTGCCTGCAGGGATCGCTATGCGTGCTAGCCGCAGGCCCCCGTCTTCTAACGCTCTGGGAGCCTGCGCCCAAAGCGGCTAGCGCGGGGGTCTGGCTCTCAGCACGCGGCTTGACTGTCCATGGATCCTTGTCCGTCTCGATACATACACACACACACACACACATGTCTACACCTACATGCAGGACTCGCATCCAGCTACTCGCTCGACACGCCCTCGCCCGCCTGCCAGATGCGCGTGGCTGTGCGCAGAGAGCTGTGCATGTACCGTCGCCATGTGCCGCGGCGTATGTGTCTAGTACACTACAGTGTGTACGCATCTATGTGCGTGTGCAGGGTAGGCGGGCGGGTGCGCGAAACACGGCCTGTCCACCTGGGCCCTATACACACGCACCTGGGCTGCCCTACCCTGCCCTACCCTGGCCCGCCCTGGCCCGGGCTGCCCTGTCCTGGTCGCTGCTGCTGCTGCTGCTGCTGTCGCCGCTGCATTGTACCCAGACCGACAGCTCCTCGCCTCTCCTCTCGTCTCCTCTCGTCGTCGTCGTCGCCGGCCAGCACCACCACCAGGCAGGCGTGCGCCCTGGACAACTAGCGCTACCCTGCGCCCACCAAATCTTCCGCCGCCACCAAACCCGCACGCGCTTGCATGCCCTCGCCCTCGCCCTTGTAACTTTGCACCGTGTTTGACAAGTGCGCCAACTCGTGTGCAGTGGTGCGCCTGGTGTCGAGTCTGAGTGCAGCGTCGACGTGTTTCATGGCCAGGTTGGATCAAAAGGCAGAGCCCTGTGTGCTTTTTTCGCCAGCAACTCGCGCGCTAGCCGGTTTGGCGCAGCGCAGCGCCCCGTCAGTCGGTGATCAGGGCCAAAGAGGCCCATGTGCATGTGCAGCCGGCCCATGGCCCGAACCAAATCATCCTCCCCTCGTCCCTCGTCCCTCCCTCGTCCCTCCCACGCCCTCGCCCACGCCCACGCCCGCCACGCCCGCCGCACACACACACACACACGGCGAGAGAGAGCGCCCACCGCTGCTTCCGTCACCTGGCGCCGTCATCTGCCTGCCCTGCCCAGCCCTGCCCTACCCCTCGGCCTCTTTCTCTGTCGCCTCGCCAGCCCATAGCAGCCAACGGCCGTTTCATGCTCGTCCAAACCGCAGGCATACATGCATGCACCCACCCCCCTCTCGACTCTCTCTCACACATGCACGTCGCAGCTTGCCTCGCCCTCTCGTCCACACACACACACACACACGCTCGTCGTCTTCTTCCAGATGGTCCTCCCGCTGCCCTAGCGCATGGTGAAGGGCTAGCATCGCGCGCTAGCCCGCCCGACGCCAGCGCCAGCAATCCACACCACCCACCCACCACCCCCCAGTAATCCACACCCCCCGTTCCGAGCCAACAAGGCCGCTGTCAAAGCACTCACCTGGCTGCACTCCGCGACCGTCATGTTGGCCTCGCCTGCTCCCCTGCCATGGCCCTCCAAACACGCTCGCATTCGCGCCGACTGCGTGCTTGTGCCCGTCCAAAAAAGGCCGCGCAGTCGACGTTTGGGCTTCGCGTCGATCCTTGGCAGGCAATGCTCCCCTGCCGCCACAGCCCATGGCTTGGGCATGATCGCCAGGGAACGAGCCAACAAGGCCGCTGGCCAATGGCCGCGCCTGCTCGACACGTTTCTTTCGTCGCCCACGGCTGCTCCACGCCCTCGCCAGCGGCGCCATCCAAGGCCTCGCTGCCAGCTGCGCTGCTGCCACGGCTGCTCCCACTTCCTTTGTCCTGCACCCAGGCAGTGCCGCCGCCTCCACCGCGCTCTCTGTCCCGGCCCGTTGCGGACATTGCGGTCTGCGGTCATGCACATCCGCACCCTCCCTCCTACTGGTTTCGTACAAGCTCTTCGTGTCATAGTCCAACCCCCTCCCCAACTTTCGCCACTAGGCCTGCTCCTAGCACATGGTTCACCACAGTCGGATGTTGCCGAACGCTGTGCGACACATCCACATGTTGTCGAGGCTCCGCTCCACATGGGCCCGCGATAGCGCCATCTGAGCGTCGGCAATCATCATCGTATCAACACAGTCAGCCCAAAACACTCACATGTACTCCATACCTACATGCACGCCCACTATCCATACATGCTACACATGGCCATCCATTACTACATGTACACCATGTCCTCTGCTCACGCCGAATCATGGCCGCTGTCCCGCACATGCCGTCTAGCCCGCTCTTATCTCGGCCTCGTCGACGTGCACACGACGCCCCATGCCATGCCCCTCACGTGATCTGTCCGATAAGCCGTCAGCCTCCTTCCCGGTTACGTCAATCTGAGATGCAAAGTTTAGGCCAAGACCACCATGCAGTCATGTGTCTGCCTCGCACAATCACAATCGCAATGCCAATGCTAATGCCAAACCAAGATTCATGTCAAACACGCAGCCCCAGTCCAAAGCAGCCTGCACACACCCACATGCCAATGCCAATGCCCATGACCTATGTCGTTTGATTGTGCGTTATATGAGTGATTTTGACATACTGGCGCTGCCCATTTCACAATGCAGTAGCCTAAACAATACAAGATAGCTGTGAGCTACCATGCCCTGTACCTTGGACGCAACAAGTAGGCAGCAGTATACACTATTGATGTCATCGTTGGACTATATCTGATTTGGCTTGCTCTAGACGAATCCACCCTACGTACAAACCACCCCCAACCCACTGCCCAATGTCCGTCCTGTAGTCGTACCACTTGTTGCCAAAGAGCACATGGCGGGGGCGCGCGCAATTGTCGTCTATTTCTGGCCCAGGGATGCCGCGCGCTCGTCCTCGAGCTTCTGGTAGAAAGCGTCACGGTGACGGACCGCGGGGACGTGGTAGCCTGCAAAAGTAAGCATCCATCGGTGAGTCTCTTTTCCCCATGCTGCAAGTCTGCAATCCGATTCCACATACCGTACCACCAGCCATAGCCGGCAACGACACCAAGACCTGTGGCTGCGGTTAGCCAAGCTTCCAGAAGCCCGCGCGCCCAACACGACGGGCCTGCTCTGAGGCCCGAAAACCGTCGCGCATCCATTGATTGCAAGAGCTTCACGCACCCATGGCAACAGAAAGGTCAAGCACGACCTGTCGTCGGAGTATCTGCAGCCCAGTCATTAGCCTCCAGCCCACCACGGCCCAGCGAGCTTCAATGGCAGCACCTACGCCAGTAATGGGTTTGACAGGCATTGTGTATTCGGTTTTTGCGAGAGCGGAGAGTTTCGGGGTGCGGGTGCGGGTTGCGGGAGCTGGTAAAGGTCGTCGGCGGATACACTGAAGTTGTGGTGGTTCGACGGGGCAGAACTACCAATGCTGACATAATGCAAAGGTGGCCTAGCGTCCCGCGCTTGGAGAGCTCCCAACCCAATGACACGGCCAACAGCAAAGTGAAAGGGACAGTACCGTCGCCAGCCGAAACGTGCCCTCCTTCACGCCGCCTTGATCGCGAGCGCTCGTTTCGCCAGCCGATGCACCCTCTCACCTGTGACTGCGCGTCCATCCACCGATAACCCTACCCACCTCGCGTACACACCAATACGGCCCGCGACATCCCCATCCCGCCTCCCCCCCCCCAAAAACACCAAACCCGCGACAACCAGCAGCATATGCCAGGCATCATACTCTCTCCCAGCGCCAGCAGCGAGGGTGCAGTCGCAGGCATGAAGCGGGCGCATGTTGCTGAGAACGCGCCCATGCACGGAGGAGAGCCGCAGCAGAAGAAGCGGCGAGTGCTACATCGACTGCACCATACCCAGCCGCTCAACCATATTGCCGACCCCATCAGCGCCGAGTTGGATAGTTTTGGCGAAAGCAAGGACTTCTTTGACCAGCAATTGCGCCGCGCAATAGCGATACAATGCAAAAGCATCGGCTTCGAAAGCGCGCGCCCAGACGCGCTCGAGCAATTCCGGGCGCTGGTTGATTCCTGTATGGCTTCACCTCGCAAAGACACCAGGCTGCAAGCAGCCCATTGCCGTTTCTTAGACTGACCTGACCCAGACATGAGCCACTTTCTAGCACAAGTGCGCACATCCATGACCAGCTCGCGCCGCACCGAAACAGTGGCACACGACTGGATATACGCCCTTGCATCTTCCGGCCTCCGTGGATCTGCACCCCTCGACCAACATTTCGACACTGGCGAAATCCCACCCACCCTGCTACAGCCTTACTTTGCTCCTCCGGCGCCCCCAGAGGCCCCGCCCCCAGATACCGAGTCTTTACTAGGCCCCGAGCTGTCCGGCAAGGCAGACAAGGAAACGCGCGCGTACATACCAAAGCACTTTCCTGCGTTTCCCTCGAGGCACACGTATACAGCCACGCCAGTCTTCACCAACCGCGAGCATGATCCGCGAAAGATTCGCGAAAAGGCGACGGAAGAGGGCATCTCGGCCGAACAGAGTCTCAGGAAACTCATGGCAGCGCAAAAGGCAGGCGTTCAAAAGCAAAATATTGGAAAGCGGAAGCGAAGCAAACGGATGAAGGAAAGCGACCGGCTATGGCAAGCAGCCATGACGGATTTGTTGGACGAAGAGAATCAGCGAGAGAAGGAAGAGGCGCGACGACAGGCTCAAATGGACGAGTATGATGACGACAACAACTGGAATATGTCGCGCGATGCTCCAATACGGCAGCCCACGGCAGATCGTAATGTCAACTTGGAAGAAGGTGTACATGTCAACTACGAGCGCAAGTACTGGAGAAAATCAGGAAACGGCGTCTAATTTCAGTCACCACGCCAGCCCTGGCCATAATATCTTTGTTTGAGCAAAAGCACGTTGAAGCATTTTGGTAGCGAGGCGTTTGGGTATCGGCATTTCCGCCTTGAACGTATGAGGGCAGCTTGGGGGCATTGGAGTGGCGTTCATCCTGTTTTTTTTTCTTTTTTTTGCTTTGCTCTGAACCAGTTGTACAATAGCTGTTCACTCTCAACTGGAGCAGTCGCCCGCGGACCATTGGTCTGTCATTTATCCATCATTAATCCATTCAAAACCTTGCTGGTTTCTTCTTTTCCTATTCGTGTCTCCAAGATGACCAATACATGGAAATATAATTTAATCCACGGTATGTTTGCGCGTGCTGGAGGATTGCATCCAATGTGCGCTTGTGTGGCAATCTGCCCACATCTCACTCAGCTTGCACCTTGCAGCTTAGCCTTCCACCCCTCCCAAGCCGTCGTCTCAACATTCGGCCCTCTCTGACATCTGTAACAATCTCAGCCCTTTATCCTACTGTGTCGACACGAGAAACCCAGTCTAGCTTGTCCTTGGCTACCACCAATCAGGCCGCCAAGCCCTACGCACCACTTACCTCCTTAGCATTCGGACAACAGGCTCACAGACGATCGTTGCCTCTTTTCCCAGATCCTTTCCTTTCTGCAAGTTGCATTTGTACTGCACGAATTCACTCAGTGCGCAGTCGCCCAGTGTGATTGGTGGATTCCGCGCTTTACCAGACGGAAGCGTGTTGACCTGGGCTTCTAGTTCCGAGACCGGAATTGCGCAAATCGGTGGCGCCATCTCTGGCTGCAAAGGGAAAAGAAAAGAAAAGACAGACGCAGGAGTAATCTCGGAAAAAGGCTGTATGGGAGGCAGAGATGAATGGTGATGAGGCGAAGAGGTTGGGGGAGAAATTGCTAGCTGAGGTTCAAGTCAAGGATCTGAGCTCGGTGTGTAATCATACAACAACGACATGAAAGCATACTGGGTCTTGGAATACTACTAACCCACAGATAGGTACTCAAATCTCTGCGTGTAGCAATTGCTGAAAGTAATACAAGGTAACTTTTTCATCCTGAGCAATTGAATGGATTTTCCACGCTTGATGTAAATAGTTGCACATAGGCTAACCCAGCCAGCAGTGCCGCAGACGGAACCACAAGACCAACATTCCATTTCAACATAGCAGAACTCGACGCCCTAATTCCAGGTTCCAAGCCCCCAATCCTTGAACTGGTCTCGCCGCCATTAACGCACGACGCGTCTGGCTCGGGCAAAACCTCACTCCTCTACCTCATCATAGCCACTGCCATACTACCTCGAACCATGTCTTGCATCCAACTTGACGGCCACGAGTCAGCCGTCATCCTCTTCGACCCATTACACCACTTCAGCGTCGTGCGCCTGGCAGAAGTAACACTCCACGTCGTCATGACCAAGCTGCAAGCTGCCAGTGTAGGCATCGACAGCACCACAAAGCAGCAGATGCGAGAAGTCGTCAAAACCGCATTATCACACGTACACATTTTCCACCCACCGTCCTGGCCCCTTTTCCTCGCAACACTTCGCTCCCTCCCAGACTATCTCTTCGACGCAACAAAGCACCACAGTACGCACCGCCGGATTCACTCCATCATCCTCGAAGACGTCGACGCTTTCGTCCCGGAGATACGCAGCTCGGCTCCTGCTTCTTCTTTTTCTTCTTCTACTTCATCATCATCCGCAAATGCATTATCGCCAGCTTCGTCAACACTGGCTTTCCACCTGACCAAGCTATCCAGTCTGCTTTCCAGCGCTGTAATCACTACATCGCACTCGACGTCTCCACTGTACTATCGGCCTGCGCTGCCGACTTCGTGGCCCCGCGACACGCTGGTCACGCGCCTGGCACTGCGCCGTGTGCCCGTGGCCAAGTTTGCTCCCGGGATCAGTAACGAGGAGGCAGAGGCAGAGAGGGAAAAGAGATGGGAAGTCGTTAGCAGAGCGAGGTTTGAGTGTTGGAAGGTTGGCATGGGAGTGGGAGGCCAAGGCAGTGGGGGATTTGTGTTTAGGATAGGACGGCATGTTGAGACGGAGAGAAAGATGGACATATAAGATGGGAATGTACTTTGTACAGCATGAATATCGCGTCCAACACACTCTCATGCTTGTCCTCACGCCTTTCCCACAACTCACTGATAACTCTAGTTGGTCATGGCACGAGCCGTCTGAATGTGCATATTTCCACCATGATATTTCGTATGCAACACGGGATATGTTGACAGACTACCGTCTCACATCAGCCACTCAGTTCCACACACTGAGCAGAAGATGGCCACGCCGTCTTTTGCCCTCATATCACGACCTGGTAGTCGTACCATGGGCCCGTCCCAAACAACCAACCCAGAACCATGCAAACTATGCATCCCTCCCCCACAGCACCTTCCTCCTCGCCCTATCTTCCCTGGCCTCCCTCCGCCTCTGCCCCCACTTCTGCCTCATCTCTTCATGCTCGCGCGCGACCCTCTCCGCCTTTTCCGGGTTCTTGGCAATCAAGCCCACGAAGAACTGGCTGCAGCCAAACTTCTCGGCGAGTTTGACTCGGGTCCACGTGTCCGGGTCTTCGCTTCTGAGCCGCCGGATCTCAGCAACGTCGGCCTCGCTGAGATGGTACGTTTTCTCATACGGCTGGCGCACAGGCGGAGGCAGGGCTGCCGTCGGCCGCGGCGGCAGATGGCTGTGTGTGTGGAGAGGTGTGCCTGGCGCAGCGACGGGCGACGTCTGCCGTGCGTGAGCGACTTGGTATGCGTGTTGTTGGGCTGCCGCGTGCAGCTGCCGTCTCTTGTCCGTCTTGGGCAGAAACTTGACCGGCGTGTGGTATACGTTTGGCGCTGACGATGGCGGATTGAAGACGAGGGTCGGCGATGAGCTGTCGGCAGTGTACGACGGTGCTTCGGGCAGTGCGAGCAGTTTCCGGTGTCGTCGTGTCGTCGATTCAAACCGGCATTGCGTGCGGGGGAGGAGGCAGGGCGCTTGCCATGTGGGTGCACAGGCCCGGAGCACCGATTTACATGTCGCCATTGTGTAATGGAGGGTTAGGCACGACGTGAACCCGGTGGTGCACGCAATGGCGTCGATGGCGATGGGCCTGTCTTGCGGCTCAAGGCCGAACTTTTTTACTTGTTCCGCGCCGATGTGGTCAAAGCACCTGACCACCCACCACTGACCAAAGGTTCGACATGCAAAGTCTAGGCCATGACTTGCTTCTTTGCCTGGTACAACACATGTTTGTCGATACAAAAACAAACGTGAGCTGCAAGAGACCACTCAATGTTCTGAAAGGGGTATAATTTTTTTTTATATTGTTATGCACTGTCTACTGCAACACGGCCCATTCTAAATCCACTGTCCATGGCACAGCATTTAGCTGCGCTTCATCTCTGCTGCAACATAGTGCAGGTATGCACCCAGCAGCTTAGTGCCTTCAATGTAGTTCATCTTGTCGAGCTTCTCGTTGATGGAGTGAGCAGCGTCCGTGGAACTACCCATTGGCAGCAGCAACACATTCTTGCCAAGCTCCTCCTGGAAGGTCAGGGTCACGGGGATACTTCCGCCCTCCCTTGTCATGTCTGGCTTCACGCCAAAGACACGCTCAACGGCCTTTGCGGCAGCAGTGTAGTTGGGGTGGTTGGGGTCCTCCACCCACCACTTTCCGCAGTGTACGACGCTGAACTTCATCGTGTTCTTCGACTTGAGCTTAGCAAACTCGTCGTTGATGTGCTTCTCAACCAGCTTGGTGACGGGGTCAATTTCCATGTTGGGAACAGTCCGGATCGAGAACTTTCCAATGACCTTGGCTGGAATGACCGTCTTGGCACCCTCAGAGTAAAAGGCACCCTCGATGCCGTGCAGTGATAGCGATGGGTATCGCATCTTGTGCATGAGCGCCTCCTCCTTGTTGTCGTGAATCGTCACAGCACCGCCCAGGGACTCTTTCAGACCGTCCATGGTGAAGGCAATTGGTGGGTAGAGTGCAGCCTCCTGCTCCGTAAGGGGAGCAACGAGCTCATCGATGCCCTTGATGAGGATTTTGCCATCTGGGTCGACCAGCGAGTTCATGATGCGCACCAAATCCGTCATGGGCTCGTGAGTCATGCCGCCATAGACACCAGAGTGAAGATCCTGGCCAGGACCAGAGATCTCAATCTGGTAGTAGTTGCAGCCACGGACACCGTACGTCAAGCAAGGCTTCTCGGTACCCAGCCAGTAGTTGTCCGAAATGCAGACGACGTCTACGTCCTTGAAGAACTTCTTGGCCTCTGCGCGGATGGTCTCGTCCAGACCCTCGGAGCCATTTTCTTCCATGCCCTCGAAGCACATGACCAGGTTGACGGGCAGTTCTACGCCGGCCTTTTGGTGCGCCTCGATTGCGTTCAGCCATCCGAGCACGGGGCCCTTGTCGTCGGTACTTCCGCGTCCATACATGCGGCCCTTGTCATCGATGCTGAGCGTGAAGGGATCCGTCGCCCAGCCATCCGACTTGTTTGCGGGCTGTACGTCGTAGTGGCCGTAGACGAGGACGTTGAGCTTGTTGGGGTCGTTTCCGTAGCGGCCCAGCAGGCAGGGCGGGAGGTCGAGGTGCTCGCGGCCAGGCTGCTTTCCCAGCTCGCGGAGCTCGACGGTGCCACCGAGCGCCTTGATCTGGTCGGCGAGCCAGTGGCCCATCTAGAGCATGGTCAGATATGATGCCTGTTGAAATGCTGGCGTGTGCTGTTCCTGGCCGTGTCGACAGTGGACATACCTTGACAACATCAGGCCTCCTCTGGTCCTCGGAGCTGATACTGGGAATAGCCACCGCCTCTCTCAGCCTCTCGATGAACGTCGACTGCAAGCCGTCGACTTGCTTGAAGTAAGGGTCGAGTTGGGCCATGTTGTCGAAGGCGTGGTACAGATAGGGCCAGTCGGCGTTGGAGATGCGTTTGGGGATGGAGTGAACAAGCCGTCTGGGAGTGGCGGCAAAGACGGGCGACGATGGAGAGAGCAAGGGATGCGAGGGATGCGAGGGATGCAAGAAGCGTCGGGCAGAGGTCGAGGCGGTTACCCGCGGGCTATGGGCTGGAGCAGGTATTATTCGGGCAGGTGGTTGTGTGAAGGCAGCAAACCGCGGCGCGAGGGCAGGGAGGGGCAAGCGGGGCATTTTGGAGGAGCGACCACGACTAGCAGTAATAGTAGCTGAGCTGAGCCATGCACATGCGCCCATGGCAGACGACACGCCAAAGTCAAGCTCTTTAGTGCGGACCCACCGTCAAGCCGCCGCCCATGCTTCCACTTCCATGCCATGCCGTGCATGCATGCGCCACAAAACCCTGCATACATAGTCATCAGACGGCGTCGGCAGTAGGGACAGCGGGGAAGAGCCTGACAATGCTGCTGATGCTGATGCTGATGATGACCAGTAAACCAAGTCAACCGCTACACAATGCAAATGCCAATGCCGAAGCTGGTGTGAGCGCGCCAATGAGAGACGGGAAATAAAAGCAGTGCCAACAAACGCTCCGTCACAACGTCCTCCATACAAGCAAACAAACAAACACCACCACCACCACCACCACCAGAGACCCAAGTGCTTCATCCTGTCATTGTCCCCTTGGTGAGCCTTGACCTTACTCCTCTCGTGTCTGCGTTGGGCTCAGACGCGCTCCATCGGCCTTGACTTGGGAGCCGTCATCTTCAAAAGACGGCACGGTAAACGTCGTTCCTCCAGCCTGGACCTGCTGGCCTACCACAAGGTCATCGCTTCCCGATGAATAACTGGACATGGCCTGTTGGGATGTGGAACTGGACGACGTCTGCTCAAAAGTGCTGGAAGACGAAGAAGTAAAGTGCTGGCTCAAATGGTGGTGCTGGGCAGAGCTCTCTTTGACTTCTGATGCCGACTCGCTACTCGCAAAGTCCCTGGTGAAGACTTGTTCGGATGAGTCGCCTGAATCTGCCGCTCCTACGATCGAGTGCTCTGGCAGCTCGCGCCGTGGTGGGTCGGGGTGCTCATCCTTCTTCAAGTGCTCGAACTCGATGAGCGATGAGCGTCGAAGCTCCTCCAGTTTCTCCTCCGGATCCTTGATGGTTCAAAGTTAGATCTGATCATGATGGAAGATATGTTCAAGCAATCCGAAGGTACATGGAGTAAGAGAAGCATTATGGACATACCCATTCGGTCTGGTCGGGCACACCGGTAGCAGAAGGCAGTTCGCCCGCTTGGTTCCTCTCCTCGCCCCAGAACATGGGGCGACGGACTGGCGCCGGGGTTACGGGAAGGCTCGGCCGCTCAACTGCAGAGGGGAAGTCGGTGAGGATGAGGCTTTCGCGGCGATCTCTGCGCTCCAGCAGCGGCGAACTAATGTCGTCTGTGCCTGTGGTCTTTTGGAGAGACTGAGTCTTACCGCGTTTCCCGCTCATGTCGGATATGGCGCGCACATAACTATCAATTCCCGGAACATTATCCCATGCATTGACATTGCTCTGTTGGAAAGTCTGCCACTGGTTGTCTGCGGCTTTTTCATGCGAAACATGCTCCGTCTCTTGTGCAGCGGGCGTCTTATCATCTCCTTGGTAATGTACAGTGGAAAAGGCGTGAGTCGGTGACTGGACGGTAGGAGTGGGCTCTGGCGAACGGTCTTCGGCAAACACACGCGTCGGCTGGGGTCGGTCGGCAGCCTGCTCCCACGGAAAGATAGGCCTAGGCATGTCAGCAGGCTTGGGTTCAGTCTCCGGTACCTGGTACCACATGTCCTTGGGCGCTTCTGGATAGTTGCGGGGCGCCTTGAAGAGCGAAGGACTGTCACTGAACGTGTATGTCTGGGTCGGGAAGTTGGCGGCTTCGGGGATGGATTGCGACGGCGGCTCGAACCTAGGGGCGTTAGCATGGCCAAACCGAGCCAATTCAGGCATTCGGGTGTGGGTGCATACTTGGTTGCGTCCCACTGCATGTGGGGGGCTTCGAAAGCGGGCTCTGCAACACCTTGGTCAACATTTTGGGCCTCATCACGAAGTGCAGTCATGGGTGGCTCGGTAGTGATGACAGATGCTTCTGCCGGAGCAGGGACAGGAGAAGGAGAGTTCATGGGCTCATTATGAGTATCATGTGTCTCACCAGCAGCTTGTTGTCCAGTCTCAGCTTTGTGCAGATGCCTCTGGTGCACTGCCCACCACCGCGCTACCAATTCACCATATACCCCACTGCCGCCAGGATGGTGGCCCGACCAGGGCTTGTTCTTGCCAATGAAGTGGACGGCGGCGATGTCGCGCTTGTAGTAGCGGTAGGCGGGCTCCCACTGGTACTCGGCGTTCGGGGTGCAGTTGTAGGTAAACTTGAGGCGCTGCCACGGACGGTGCTCAAAGTACTGGTTCAGCAGGCCCTGGTCTGCGCCGTCGAAGCTGTCGCCTGTGGCCGCCATGGTCTGCAGAGCCCAGTACTCGCCCATGTCTGGCGTGATGACCATGACACCCGAGTTGAAGGCGTCTGGCCAGCCAATGTCGGGCGCGGCAGCAAAGGAGGCCTCGATGTCAAACAGCTCGTCGAGAGCGCGCAGAGCTACCACGTCAGCGTCTAGGTATACCAGCTTGCGAAACTGCGTCTGTCTCCACAGAGCAATCTTGGTGAAGGTAAAGGCCAAGTCGGGCCGGCCCATCAAATAAAGGTTGGCGGGGTTTGCGGTGCGTATGCGCTCGACGGGAATGACATAGTCATACAGGGCCTTGAGCTCCGCAACCGTGTCGGCCGACAGCGTGTCGAGCGTGGCGAGGACGGCCAGCTTCTTGGTGGTTCCTGCATCGCGCAGTGAGTGGGCGAGGACTGCGGCACCGGGCAGATACGAGTCGCTCATCAGAAGCTGTGGGCCGTGTCAGCGCGGGTGCCGTGGGCCTTGGGCGCGCACAGAGAAGCCTACCGTGATGTACGCATCTTCCAAGGGCTGCGCCATGCTCGTGGTCAATTGGGGCGGGGAAGCTGGCAAACAAGGCGACAAAGGGCCACGGACGGGCGTTTGGGGGATTCAGAGCAAAGTCTGAACAGCTCTCGAGGCAGTGCGTGACTGTTTTTTCCCCCGCAGTGGCAGCAACAATATAGAAATGGGAATGGCGTAGGCGCTTGATCTGCAGCGCAACGGGGACCCAATGCGGATAGCAGCAGCGACAACGGCAGCAGTGCTGGCAAGCGCGGCAGGCCGTATGATTGTGATTGTTCTTGTGATTTGACCAAGGCTCGCGGGGCTGTTTGAGGAATCAGCGATAGGCAGACACGCGACCGGAGGCGGCCATGGTTATGTGAGAGAAAGTGCGAGTGTGAGTGATTGTGTGTGTGTGTGTGTGCCGTGCCGTGCCAGCGCGTGGGTTATTATCTGTTGGGAGATTGCCTCGACACATTGGGCGGGCTGGAGGGAGCTAAGGCCAGAGCCACCACCGCCACCACCACCACCATTATCGTGACCATCATGACCCCTCACCCCTCACCCCTCACGCCTCGCCCCTCGCTGCACGCCCCGAGCTCTCCCTGCCTGCTCTCCCGAGGCTACCGGCCACCATGACGGCACCATGCGCTAATGGAGCCGTTGCTTTTGTCATGGCGCGCGCCGGCCCAGCCCTACATGCTACATAAGTACACATACACATACATGCACATAGACCGACCTAGCACGGGCACTGGCATAATACGGTACTGGCACTGGTACTTTGCCCTGACCCCGCCTCCAAGTCGCAAGGCCAATGCTAACACTAATGTTGCTATACTATAGCTGCCGTGGCCAGCCCACCAAAACTCGTCCTCTCCACCCCACCCACGCCCATGGCCGCTAGTCAGGCCATGCACAGCACATGCACAGCACATGCACCCCTCGCCTCCTCCACCTCTCCCCTCCCGGGCCAAGACCGCGCCAGCTGATTTGTTTGGCCGCCCCGCTTACACATTTCATCCACTGCAAGCCTGCCATGGCAACACTCGCCCATCGACTCGCCTGCCCATGCCTGGCACCGCATTGTTGAACCCGCCTCGGCACTCTGTGTCCCATCGCGCGCGCACACCACGACGTCTACCGTCTGTCCCACCTGCCTACAGTAGGTTTCTCAGCTGCACCATACATGCTGTACGTACATGTACTTGGTCGCTCACCCATGTCGGAGGTGAAAACAAGGCCGATTGGCTTGCTTCCCCCCTCCAAGATTAGCGAGCACTTAGCCCCGATCGATGACTGCATGCGGCCAACCATGCCCTGCCCTCCCGCTAGCACAGAGGAAAAAGCACCCTCTGTAGTTTCAGCACGGCCACAGTTCCTCCTTCTTTTGCGCTTGCTTGTCACATTCCTCATCGCCACTCGCGCGAGCCTCACTGCCTGCACATGCCCGCACCCAGCACTCCTCAAGCAACATGTCAAAGTCGCGAGTCATCTACTGGTTCCGGACCGACTTGCGCCTCCACGACTCCCCAGCCCTCAAAGCTGCTCTGGACCTCAATCCCGAATGCCTCTATCCATTGTGGACCTGGGACCCCCACTATGTCTATCGAGCGCGCGTCGGCCCCAATCGCTGGCAGTACCTCCTCGACTGCCAGAATGACCTGTCCAAGTCCATTACCAAGCTGAACCCCAAGTCGAAACTGTTCCTCATCCGTGAAGCCCCTCAGACGCTGTTCCCCAAGCTGTTCAGGGCATGGAAGGTTACGCATTTGGTTTTCGAAAAGGACACGGATGCATATGCAAGAGAGCGTGATCAAAAGGTCATGGACATTGCCAAGCAAGCGGGCGTCCATGTCATCGTCAAGACAGGAAGGACCTTGTACGATCCGGATGACTTGGTCAGCAACAACAATGACAAGCCGACCATGAGTATCAGCCAGGTCATGGCAGCGGCGAAGAAGATGGGGCCAGTCCCCAGACCCATCCCAGCACCAAAGTCACTGCCGGATCCCGGAGCGGTCGAGTTGGAGTTTGACCAAGAGAAGCCAGACAACCATCCGGACATCAATTCCGTCCAAAGAGATGGTAATGAAGCCTCATACACCGCCTTGGCCGGGCCAAATGGCGATTTCGCGGTACCAACAATGGAAGAGCTGGGGCTGAAGCCGGCAACAACGCCTCATCGCGGCGGAGAAACAGTGGCGTTGCAAGCTCTGGATGAAATAATCGCAAACGAAGAATACACGGCGACTTTTGAAAAGCCCAACACTGCCCCAACTGCGTTCGAGCCACAATCCACTACCCTACTATCCCCACACATGCACTTTGGCTCCCTGAGCTGCCGTCTTTTCTACTGGCGCGCCCAGGATGTTGCCGACAAATACAAGGGCAAAGCCTCGAAACCACCCACCAGTCTGACAGGCCAGCTGCTTTTCCGTGACATGTACTTTGGCGCGCAAGCATCCCTGGGATACTCCTTTGGTCAGACCTACAACAACCCGCAATGCCGCTTCATCCCCTGGCATCTCCCCTCAAAAGTCGACATTGCTTCTGGCCTCATCACTGGTGAATACGTAGTCGGCAATGCAGAAGCAGAGTCCCATTTCCAACGATGGAAACAAGGCCGTACCGGGTTTCCCTGGATCGATGCACTCATGCGTCAGCTCGCGCAGGAAGGCTGGATTCACCATCTTGGCCGCCACGCCGTTGCGTGTTTTCTCACCAGGGGCGGCTGCTACATTGACTGGGAACGTGGTGCCGAGGTGTTTGAAGAATGGCTCATTGACCACGAAGCAGCGTGCAATATTGGCAACTGGCAATGGCTATCTTGCACGGCATTTTTCGCCCAATTCTACCGTTGCTATTCCCCCATAGCCTTTCCGCAGAAATGGGACAAAGAGGGAAATTTCATCCGCAGATATGTACCGGAGCTTGCCAAGTTTGACAAGAAGTATATTTACGAACCACACAAAGCACCAATTGCGGACCAGAAGAAATGGGGATGTATGATCAAAGGTGACGGCGCGGCTGGAGCAGGCCAAGATGGCCATGTAAAGACGTATCCCAAGCCAATGTTTGATTTTCCCACGCGAAGGGATGTGTGTCTCCAGGGTATGAAGAACGCATACCATGTCAATCTTTACGGCAACTCGCCTCAAGTCCTCGATGGAAGCTGGCGCAAGCTGTTTGACGACGAGGCCGAAGGGCCGACAAAAGGGTCCAAGGGTCCTCCTGGAGCAATGCCAGCGGATGGGCAAGTCAAGGGCCATGAAGATGCCGATGGTTACGAGGAAAAGCAAGATTCGGATTCAGCAAAGAGCCCAAAGCGAGCAAAGCGCACGGCTAAGAAGGCGGACGTCAAGGTAGGGCATAAGAGGGAAGCGAGCCAGGCGACGTTGGATACCATGGTAACGAGGAAGAAGAAGAAAGATGCGGGAGGCTCTGCCTAATTCCAAACCATGGTTGGATAGCATGGCTTGGCTCAAAGCGGCTCATTTGTCGCATGAGAAATCAATTCAACTTCACATCATTAGAGGGTATCACAAACAAAGCATCAGTCGCAGCCGCATCTACGCATTCGCAATCCTCCCCGCCCCAATTACTGTCCAGAAGGCCTCTTCCCTCTTTTCCCGCTCACCCTTGTTACCCCTCGAGTCACCCAACCCCCGCTCCTCGGCATTGACGTCAGCTTCGAATTCCAGCCGCACGAATATGGGTATTTCGAGCAAATCGTCGTCTTGATCGAGTTCCTCATCGCCCTCGTCCAAGAAGCCCGGGATGACCTCAATGGCCACGCTCGTCCAATTGCGGCCCTTGTCCCAGATTTTGCCTGCTTCGATTTGCCCCGTTTCGGCGTTGATGGTGGAGCGGCGCGGCATGGGGGCGGGAGACGACGACAGCGCATCGTCCCACACGTCGGTGTTGGCGCCAACCTCAAACTCCGGGCACAGTATGGTAACGCGAGAGGCGACTTTTCCAGGCGTCGTGCTCGATGTGGCTAGTGTGACACGTATGGGGTCGAACAGAGGGTTGCTGAGGTGGAGGAGAAAGTGGGCGGGGATGCCTGGCCGCAGTGCGTTGTAGTCGAGCGGCTGCTGCTGCGGAGTGGGCGCAGAGCCCGGCATGGGCGGGACGGGCGGGTTGGTAGGAGGTAGTGCGCGCAGGCTTAGTCGTGGGATGTGATTGAGCGCCAGCAGCTTGATCTTGTAGCGTGTCGACGTGATTTTTGATTCTGGTTTGGCGAGAATGTGGCGGCATGACCGACAGCGCTTGGAGCGTTTTGTGCACAGCAGCGTTGGGATGGGCCTGAGTTCGTCTTCAAAGCGCGCGTAGGGGTCGAGCTGGGCGAGTTTCTGGGCAGGCGACAATGTGCTGCCCCAGCCGCCGCGCTTGATACGCTCAATTGCGGCAGCGTCGGCGGCCGGGTCGTGGGTTACCAGGCCCTCTAATTCTGACGCAGCCTCTCTCATGGGCATGGGCTTGGTCCGCTTCGACTTCTTGGCACTGGATGTCGAGTAGAGGTTCATGATGCGTGAGTATGCCGTTGGCGAGGAGAAGTTCATCTCGAGCGGATTCGAAGGCGTCTGGGCGTCCAGCTCGGCTTTGTAGAAGGCGGCCAGATTGGCAAAGAGCTCGTCACGCGTGGGCGGCTCGTAACCCCCCGCATATACAATGGTCGAGTTGCGCGACGACGTGTGCGGATTCCTCGAGTCTCGCCGCTGGGCCTCGAGCTCCTTGCGCCTCTCGCGCTCCTTGTCACGCTCCTTGCTCGATGGTATGGCCTTGCCTCCGTTTGCTATACGCGCAATCTGCGAATATACGCCCGTGTGCTTCTCGAATTCGATGCCCGTCTCCACCGTGCTCCAATGGCAGTACGGACACGCCAGCACGTGTCTGTCGGTTGCGCCGTGGTCGACGTCGGGGTTCTCGAGCAGATTGACAATCATGGGCGAGATGCAGACGGGGCAGTTGAAGCAGTTGCGCGTGCATCGGTTGCCATCGCTCTTGACCACGGAGCTGGGCACCTCGAACAGGCAGTTTGGACAGTACCAATTCAGCGTCTCCTCGATCACACAGCGCGGACAGCGTATCTGCAGGCAGTCTTCGCAGTAGAGCAGGTGTTCGAGCGGGTACAGGGCGTAGTTGGAGCGAGGGTTCCGCGGGTCGAGCGTCTCTTCGTCGTCGTCGGTGGCGGCCAGCACGTGCGAGGCTTCCTTGGCCGTCGACACGCTGTTGCTGTCGAAGCAGTCGCATGCGTAGTACGTGTAGGGGAATGCCTGTGCCATGTTCTCTTTTTTTTTTCTTGCTTTTCCCTTTCCTTTTCCGTATCTTCCTCCTCGCCGGCTTGGGTGTTGCGTGGGGAATGTGCAGGCCGACTGCTGGACAAGTCTCTCGGTGGAGCCAAACGCCGATTGGCCGCGCAGTGCAGGCGTACGGGTACGTACCGAGCCGCCTAGCTGCAGGCTATCATCTTGACGTATCGCTCGGCATGCCCATGCCCAACTTCGCCTCTTTTCCCTCTCTCGTCAGGCCAATTTCCCTTCTGCGCAGTCAATTGCACTGCGCGCTGCCACCATGGCCAGCTTCTCCATCCGCGCATTCATCCCGCCATTAAGGCGGCCGTGCCTCCCCCTCCAAACTACGCGCCGCTACGCCGTCCAGGCCCCCGGAGCCCCCACGCTCGAGATCTTCAGTGGCCGCCAAAAATGGATGCAGAAAGAACGCGCTGCAAGCGATGTCGAGATGAGCAGGAGTGTGGATTACTTGAGGGACGAGGTTGCTTCACGGTTATGTGAGCGCATCTTGGTAAAGCCGTCTTGACGTGTCTACGCCAACGGGCAGCTGCTAAGACATGCAGGATATTAAACGGCATTTCCCCAAAGTCCTCGATCTCGGTGCAAACGCATGCAATCTGCCCCGAGCGCTTACAATGCCGTCTGAAGATGCTCCAGACAAAGGCCCGCGTTCCAGCCGTGTGGGCAGCATTGTAGCCGCAGACACGTCCCGATCGCTGCTGTACCGAGATGCAGACTTGCCCTTCAACAAAGAAATCGACATTGTGCGAGAGGTCCTCCACACAGCAGAGCTTTTGCCCTATGAGGCAAACACTTTTGATGCTGTCCTGAGCAACCTTAGTCTGCATTGGATTAACGACTTGCCCTCGGTCTTGGCCCAGGTCAACAATATACTGAAGCCCGACTGTCCTTTTATCGCCGTCATGATGGGCGGAGACAGTCTTTATGAGCTGCGCACATCGCTGCAATTAGCAGATCTCGATCGAAGAGGTGGTGTCTCAACTCATGTTTCGCCTTTGGCAGATGTAAAAGACGTCGGTGGCTTGTTGCAAAAAGCCGGCTTCAACCTTCTCACCGTCGATGTCGACGATATTGTTGTCGACTACCCCGACACTTTCTCGTTGATGAAGGATCTGCAAGCCATGGGCGAGTCGAATGCAGTCTTGGCCAGAGAAAAGGGTGCGATACATCGCGATGTACTACTTGCAGCCGAGGGAATCTACAGGGAACTCCATGGCAATGAGGATGGAACCCTACCCGCTACTTTTAGGTTAATCTACATGATTGGCTGGAAGCACAGTCCGAATCAAGCAAAGCCGCTTGAGAGGGGGACAGGCTTGTTCAGCATTAAGGACTATCTGGAGAAGAATGGATCTGGCCAAGGTAAAGAGTAGGAGTTTGTACAGTGTCGCCGATATTTCCTAAATCCCAAAATTTTCTTTGCTCGCCTGAGGAGCAATGGCTTTGATGGACCAGCCCCAAGCAGAGCAGCTGGCTGTCTCAAGATACACACACACCGAGGAGTTGATATGATCATTCACGAGCAACTGAGAAGTTGTAAAAAGGCTAGATAGCGAGATGAACTTTAAATTTCATCTGTATATTATTGTGGAAACCACGAAGCAAATATGTAAAACTATATTCAGCCATGACATATCCAGGGAGACCTTGTTCCAAATCCTGACACTTGACATTGTGTCGGCAAATCCCTTCAGTCCTGTATATCTGAGAAAGGAACCAAAAAATCAATTCTTTCTTACTCTCGCCACTCACTTCTGAGCACTAGACTTGTCACGAGCAATCTTGCTCTGAGCGGAGTCTTGAGTTGGCTCAGTGTTACAATGGTGTGCAATGTGACCTTCTGCGCCGCACTTGTGGCAAATGCGTGGTTTCTTTTTCTCCATACATGTGATGGTAGTGGTGAGAGAGGCGTGGTCAAGATCTCGTTCATGCTTATAGTGTTGGGGAAAGGAGATGGAAAGCGATTGGTATATAGGTGTGAATATAGCTACAGTAGTATGAAGACCGAATACATAATACTTGGTCAGTGAGTCAATGCTATATGGAGTGGCTGTCTCCTCTCTATCACACAAGGATATTGCAGTGAGAGCATTAAATTTGAATTCTCATTTACCTCAGTAACATGGCATATCTTGGTTTAGATAATATCTCGGGCTTTTCCAAATAGCCACTTTTAGTGCTTGTAAGCAGGCTCGCGGAGCTTGGATGCTGGCGATCACTGGTCTGTTTGCTGTTGGCGTATCGAGCTTAGCCCGCAGCACGTGTTGTGACGATCTCCAAGTAAATGGAGATATGTTGAAATAAGGCAACGGCGCTAGTCGCTTCCTGTCGCCTTCACCTTGGGCAGGCAATCGCATATGCTCGCACTCCACCATACCAGCATCCTTGCAGACACCACTGGGCCTCTAGACGACCGCCGCCATGCATCACCGCAGCATAACCATCAAACTGCATTCTCAATTCGATATCGGAACGCTGCCCGAATACTACCCCGATCCCAAAGACGATTACACAGCTCGTGGCATCACCGGCTTCACGTCCGAGCTTTTCGACGACAAGACGTCAACATGTAGCGTGTTTGTGCCCGTTGTGCCAGGCGGTACATTCTGGATAAGTTATCTTGTATCACCGCCAGTGCCTGATGAGCAATACTTCCTCTTCAAACTGTACATCGATGGCCTGCAAATTATGAACTGGTCGACCGGAAAAGCAGAGGGCTGGCGAGGGAAGACCATGTTTGGTTTATTCGAGAGCCCCGAAGATGAACAAGGCAGGAAGAGGATCGAAAAGCGCATGCTATGTTTTGCACCACCAGAGAGACAAGACTCATGTGGAAGAGGAATTGCAGATACGTTTGACGAGACAGCCTGCATTGAGATACGAGTACATCGCGCAGACGGCAGGAAGCGCATCCAACGACAAATAGAGGAGTATAGCAATACACAGCATGCAAAGAAGATCAGGGGGATAAAGTAAGTGCGAGATTGATACAGAAGTGAAGTGTGCTGATCTGGTCAGTCTCATCCATGGTGGACGCGCCGGATCAGAACAGCCAAAACGCTTCTACAAGTTTGCCCTCATCGACCCCGTGGACCAGCCATTCGCGACATTCCGGTACTACTACCGCACTTGGAACCAGCTGCGAGACCTGGGAGTGCTTCGCCCAGACCATAGTGGTGCGGGTGAAGAGGATGGCCTTTCTGTGATAGAGCCACTAGACGATAGCGTGCGTAGCACAAGCGCAGACCAAGAGACCGGCAACGCCGTCAGCCATGGACAGCAGGGTCGCATTCCAGATGGTAAAGGAGACAGTAATGAAGGTCCAAGACCAGGACCTCGTAGCAAGAGAGAACAGGCTACGGCGACTTTCAGTCTAACTCGACGCCCGTCAGTCAAGACGCGCAAACCGTCATACGTGGGACCAAGAATGCGGCAGGCGGGTAAGACGGGACAACTGCGCTCATACGTTCCAGTCGGCGCGCCCAGCTCCAAGACTGAACCATCAGACAAAGAGTCCCAAGAGGAGGCATCTCAGCGCCATAGCGATACGCTCAAACCGCCGCAATCCTATCGCCTCTCTATTCCGCCTTCGATCGCATTGGAGCCTTCGGGGTTGATAACACGGCCACTTCCAACCCCTCCACAGAAGAGCAGTTTTCCATCATCATCATCTACTGCTTACTGCCCTCCTCCAGCAAACCATGTAGATGACCGGGCAAAGTACACCCCCAGCCCTGTCAAGCCAATCACGCAAAGGGCGTCCACACCGCCACCGGGGAAACGCGAAGAGCAGGGTCGGTCAGCTTCCTCGTTGATGGGTATCATTGCGTCTGCGTGGAAGCATCGGGGCATACAGAAGCCTGATGGAGCAACATGTGCTGATGGTTGTGATGCCGCGCGCCGTTCGCAGTAGTAGCGGTTGGTAGTCGGCAGGAATCATGGTGGTTGAGCTGTCGTGGTCGCGAGGGCAGGCCGCGCAAGATGAAACATGGGGCGATGACCGGCCCACGCGATGATGCAAGGCACATGTCGCTGATTGGCTGCTCCACAAACCCCGCAGACTGCAGCAGCTACCCCAAGCTTCCATGGCAGCCGACAGCTTCAACCACAACACAACCCTCGATCCTGTTGTACATGTCGCGTTTAGCTCCACTTCCCATGAGCCCCTTGTCTTAGTATTCATCCCATCCTTCTGGCTGTATCATTACCTGTGCGTGAGCCGCTGCGATGCGCTCCCTCGGTGTTGTCACCGCGGCGCTTCTCGCCGCCGTTGCCCATGCTTCCACGCTGAAGCCGCCGGTTCTTCCGTTGATCGTTAGAAATCCGTACCTGAGCACGTGGCTCCAGAATGCGCGAGAGGAGCCCTGGAGCAAATGGCCCATGTTTTGGACGGGCGCAGAGGTACGTTTCATTCCATCTCAGCAGCGCCCAGCTACGGCCAGGCCAGATGAGGTACTGTGCTGACAAGGTGCTGCGCAGGTTGGATTTGGCGTGCTTGCATCGCTTCCTGATTCAAACCAAGTATTTCCGCTACTTGGGAGACCACATGATTCCTTGGACAAGAAAGACAAAGAGTATAGAAGAACTTGCTGTCCGTGACGTATCCCACGCTGACTTGTTGGTCGCGCAGCTATACGATAGCCTACCCCGTATACAAAGGCGCCAAATACGACGCGTCCACTACCAATCTCACCTACTCCCTCCAGGCATCCGAAAAATTACAATCTGCAAAGAACGTTGAAATTACCCTGTCCTTTCTCTCCCCCATCACACCCACGTCAACTCTGCGACAGACGATCCCAGCAGCATATCTCTCGATACATGTAGAAGGCAACGTCCATGTCAATGTATATGTCGATGTGAATGGACAATGGGTCAGCGGCAAGAGGGAAAGTCTCATAGAATGGAGTCTATTTCAGCACGTGGCACCCGAGCTTAAGAACAAGCTCAAGACGTGGCAAGTAAAGCGCCAGGTTGAGCAACTCTTCACAGAAACGAATGATCAGCCCGAGTGGGGTCAGCTGCATTTCACAGGCCCAGCCGATGTGCGTCACGAATCCGGAACTTCGGCATTGCTCCGCCAGAGGTTCGCCCGTACCGGGACCTTGCAGAACGAAGTGGATGGAAATTTCCGTGCCATCATGGATGAGGAACCAGTATTCGCCTTTGCAAAGTCTTTCAAGCTCGGAGAAACGAGTGCTGCGTCAAAGACTAACAGTGGTAGCGTTCTTTTCACCATTACTCATGTCCAGAACCCAATAACACAATATGCATCTGCACGCGGTCTCACCTTCATGCGGCCCTTGTGGGAGTCCTGGTTCCCTCAGGAAGACAAGCTCATTCAATTTCACTACGGTGACTTTGACGTAGCCAAGAGCCTGGCAAGCAACTACTCTGAGCAGCTGCGTATTGACGCTTACGAATCCGGCTCTACCAACTACGTTGATATCGTCGCCTTGTCTGCACGGCAAGCGATGGGTGCGACCAGCTTCTCCGGCACCAAGGAAAATCCGCTGCTCTTCCTGAAGGAGATCTCCTCAAACGGAAACTGCCAGACTGTCGACGTCATCTTCCCAGCGTTCCCGTTCTTCCTCTACACGCAACCCCGGTGGCTGGCATATCTCCTTGAGCCGCTCCTTGAACATCAGCTCAGTGGCCAATATCCCAACAAATACTCAATGCATGATCTCGGCGCGCACTTTCCAAATCTTACCGGACATGCCGATGGAAGAGACGAGTACATGCCTGTTGAAGAATGCGGAGACATGCTCATTATGGGCCTAGCATTAGTCAACTCGTTGACCTATAACTCTGGGTCAGAAGCTCAGTCTATGTGGTCGTCGATTGGTCACGATGGAAATTCGAAAGAGCATAGCGATAGCGTTTTTGGTCTGACAAGCGTCTCCTCACACGACGGAATTGACTACATTGATGAAGTCTGGGGTGGAAAGACAAAGGGCATCGACCAAGCTAAGAAATGGCTTGAGGGAAGCTACGACCTATGGAAGCAATGGACCGGCTATCTTGTCGAAGATGCGCTGGAACCTCATAATCAGCGTGAGTATACACCAAATAACTTTCGGATGTTCGCTAATTATGCCATCAGTGTCTACTGATGATTTTGCAGGATGGCTGCCACTTCAGACTAATCTGGCACTGAAAGGTATCGTCGGCATCAAGGCCTTCAGCGAGATTGCAGATCTCATGGACCGACCGGGTGACGCCGACAAGTACCGTAACATTTCTGACACGTATATCAAAAAGTGGCAGGAATATGGCATCTCGCGTGATGGCACACACGCTAAGCTTGCCTATAACTGGTATGGAAGCTGGACGACGTTGTATTCCCTGTACGCCGACGCCGTCCTGTGTTTCCACCCTACTTTCACAAACCCGTCATCCAAAGTCGAGGGGCAATATTACGCATCTGGCGACAACGATGAGCAGAGACCTTTGACGCCCTCCAAGGGCAGCTCTGGCCGTACAGCGATAACGCACGACTTCATCCCAGACTCCATCTACAGCATGCAAAGCGACTGGTATGCCAACGTCATGCAAAAGTATGGTCTGCCGCTCGACTCCCGCCACCTGTATACCAAGTCAGACTGGGAATTCGAGGCTGCAGCTGTCTCCAGCAAGAAGGTTCGCTCCGAGATCCTAGATCGTGTAGCCTTGTGGCTGAACGAGACGGTGACGGACCGACCTTTTACTGATCTGTACGTGACTGAGGGTGACGGCGGCTTCCCTGGACCATGGTTCTTTGCCAGGCCAGTTGTTGGAGGGCATTTTGCGTTCTTGACGCTAGAGAGGGCATGTGGCGGTATGGGCAAGAAGTAGAATCGTCACATGCATATCATGCTACAGACTGTACTTTCTATGTGACAGTTGATGAAGGAGGACTGTAGTATGATCTATCCTTTTGTTGGCTAGCAGCGAAGTATCAAGTCTGTCATGTATTCCGTGTTGCTGGCGTTAGTTCAGCACGTATCAATGGCCCGAGTATTTCAAGAAACCTTGTTCTTTTAGTCACAGCCGATGAACCACCAAGTCTATTGTTGGATGAAAACATGAAAATAAACACCCTGCGGCTTTTAGGACATCGATTTTGAAACTTGTTTCTTTGTTCAGAATCCAGAAAAGGATCAAAGGCAATGCGTCTGATTTTCGCCGTCTTTGGAAGGTGTGTTGATTAGGGTGATGCACTGCATTTGAACAAAGAAAAGCGAGTATTAAGCAGTTACTGTTCAGATACTTGACCTCAAGTCTTGCTGAATGGTGCGACCCTACAACCTCTGCCAGTATTGTCAAAAAATTTTCCACATCCTCTTAAACTACAGAAACCTTAGCAGATAATGGTGGTCTACAATGCAAGTGGAAGGGTGGAGATTGCCTATGAAGAGTACTTGGAACAGGAAGCAAAGAAAGCATCTGAACAGGCATATGGGCAGTATCTAGATCAGATTGAAGTGTGCAAGCAGAGGGCTGGGCCCAAATCCACAAACGACGTGCAAATCATCATTGACACGCAACACTTTAGGACATTGTATTGCGAAGCAAGAGATGGATGGGGCAGTGATTTCGAATGGATAACGGGATTTGAACAGGACGAGACTACAACTATATCGAGACGTGTTTGTCGCGAGACGCTGATATTGTGTTCGAGTACCGCGCGAGATCATTTCACGTACAATCCTGGTGACGACCAGTTGCATTTACCGGTCGTCTATCCGCGAGCCCATCGCCAACCACCAGTAAAGGAGCAGCCCAAAACGAAATCCAAGGCTAAGCCTACCATTAAGACCAAGAAACAGCCTGCGCGAAAAGCTAAGAATGCGTCAGGGTCACAGCCTGAGGATCAGTCTGAGAATAATTCAGAGGATCAGCCAGAGAATCAAGCGGAGAAGGAGCTTGATGACCAGATGGCTTTTATACGTGCCAAGGAGATTGAGGAATACGTTTTGCCATGGCTGGATAAAGTGAAGGTGTACATGGATAGCAGAAACAAAGAGAGTCATGGCAGTGATGTCGATCATCCCGGAGCGAAGAAGTGGCGTACAGCAGAAAACAAACAGCACCGAGAACTTCTGGCAAACCCGGGCGGTCCAATAGCAATGGATATTCCTACGCCGCTTCTGGACAAGATACATCTCTACAACGTCATGCTTCAACTGGGCCTTCCGAGATTCATACAGCGCCCGCTTGTCGAGGCCCTGATTTCTCAATTGAACAGGACAAGGCTCTCGGCATGCCATCTCGACACGTTGGAAATCACAGTCGGCCGCTTCTACTCACGAGGCCTCGCGATCCTCGACCCCGTCATCAACCACGTGATCGGAACGTATTACCTCCGCACTCTAGACGACCGCAGGCACCCAGAGCCTGCGGGGCGGTCCCGCAGCAAAAAGCAAGGACAAGCCGCAACAACAGCCGTACAAGCTGGCCCCAAAGACCGGGTTCGCGCCGACGGCAGCCTGGAAACTCGATTCCACGAGGAATACCCTTCTCCCGTCGACTTTGGCAAGACCAAGAGGAAATACCTCAAGTTTGCGGAGCAGGACGCGCGCAGAAGCGAGTTGGTACATGATACGTATATTCTCCCGCCCGAGTTGGCGGTCCTAGGCCACTGTGTCAGACACTGGTCTGGCGTGCGTCGAAACGGCAGTGTGGCGGCGGCGCACACGGGGTTTCCGCTTAACACGGGGCTCAGCAGGACTTTTGTGCGTCGCGATGCGTCTGTTGCGCTTGATGTGGCGGATTGCGAGGAGGAGCGGACAAATCAGGTGGTGGAGGGAGAATCTTTACCTTTGTGAAGTTGGGAGGTTGGGGGGGTGGGGGGTGAGGTGTGGCCTTAGTTGGCGATTGTAAAAGGGTGTTTGAAGTATAGGGGGTATGAAGGGATGTGCACACTTCTTAGACTACCTGTTTTCATTTTTATACGCATAATTTCCACTTAAATGAAGTCTACTAAACCCAGGTTATTTCCCTTTTACTATTACCATTATAACACTTCTTATCTACAATAGTCTGCTTGTTTGATGAGTGAGTTCAGCCCGCTGACGCAGTGGAGTACACAACATAAGATAGCGGTGAGTTACCATGCCCTCTACCTTGTACACAATATGTAAGAAGTAATATACCCATAGTATCCTGCATCCAAAACGCTACAGCCGTTGATAGATATCACAGATATATTTTTGAAAGTAGTTTAGTAGGGAAGCTGTGTGAGTCACGTTCCTAAGTTTTATCCAAGACTCTTCTCTTGAATTATCTTCCCTTGGTTGGGTCGCTCTATGTTGTTTTTCTTTTTAAGAAAAAAGTAGTAAAAAGGTGTTGTACCTGCAGTCTCAGCGTCAAGATTGTACAGTTTCCGCCGTCGTCGCACGTACTGTCGTAATGACGAGTCGTATTGGACTTGACGTTCTCCAATAACCTTTGCTGCTACAAATCCCGTGCTTCTACCTCTTGCTTTTACCTTAACCCTAGGGTATACCTGTTGTCTATGGGTTTGTTTCAAAATAGAGCTACAATATCAAATCCCGTTGCGCCAAAAGTTGCCAATCTCAGTCCTTCTAGCATGCAAATCACGCGCTTCAGTCCCCTGTAACCTTCGAGACATGTTGCTGCTGGACATCGTTTGAGCTACAAGATCCGTCACGACCCCCCCCCAAGGGTAATAGTTGGAGAATATTCGAACGCCATTGAAGTTGGCGTCCTCGAAAAGCCTAACTAAGATGTAAGCGAAGATTCAGGGGTGTATAAGGGTACTTGATAGTCACAATATATCTTTATTCACGACTTTGACGCAGCGCAAGGGTATCGGCGAAGGACGCAGCTGCTTGTTGACATCGAGAAACATATATAGCCTTCTTTTTGACCCCTCCCCAACCTCGTCTATGCCTGCTGGTGTGTACACATGGTCCATGTCCCAGTCGAATTTCCGTCCGTAATGTAACTCCATGAAGGCATTTGCAAGAGTCAGCGGACGAGCACATGGTTCGCCTGGAATATCTTGAGCTCTCAAGCCAAAGCAGATTCGAACCGGACTATGCTGCGACAGTGTGTTTTGGGTATGGTCATTCATGGCTTTGGGTAAAGATGGCTGTTGAGAGTGGACATTGCACTGCTGGCTCCTCGGCGGCAACTAAAATTCCAGCCCCGCCCGCACCATTGGTCGGCCGCTTTCCCACATCCGCGTCCCTCATACACGCGCAACAATGACGAGTACCTGAAATGTATAACGATCGATTTTGCCGGTTCGAATAGTGTGGTTGTGATCGCGCAGTGAACATCACGTGGTGCGCTGCCACTACAGCTCGTTGTCAATGCTGCCACCAAAATCCGTGACGCCTTTCATATGATTGCTCTGCATGCGCATATTCTAATATAGTGAGATTCTGAACTACATAGACGATACATCTCCGCATTGGTGTCTGTTGTGGTGTTTTTCATAGCAATCACTACATGTCGGTGGAGCTCTTGTTTGTGCACGAACAGCCTCGACTTGGTCACCCCTCTTGGACACCACTATGACCAGCGCCTCAACCTCGTAGGCCTGGAAAACACCCCTCAAGGCTATATACCGTCATTGCTATTGAATCTTATGTTGCTGACGTCAATTATTGACCCACAGCTTCGTAGCGTTACGTTAATTAAACGTCCCTCACTAGCTTGATGGCTTTGTAAGGCCCTCCTCCACATGCCTGCTACTGCTGTTTGATATATGCACCTAGTACAAAAGTATACTAGAAAAGGCCTCAACATCTTTGAAACGTTACATAGGCACTAACTTTCTCTTGATCAATAATGTTCACAATTCGGTTGGACATTTGTTCAGCCGGGGGGGTTCAAACATTATCTCTAGCACTGCTAGAATAAGCTTTGAGCGATTTTTGCGGCAGTAGTGTTCCCAGAATGCTAGATGTAGAAATGGAAACAAGGCATTGGAATGCTTCTTCGGTAGCGTCAGGAGGCGCAACATGTATGTAGACGAATACGAAGTCCGGTGAAATTAGTGGCTTCCAATATTTACTCAGGATACACCATCTTGCGCCCAACGCCGCCATCAACGACAATCTCCTCGCCCGTCACAAACTCATTGCACACTGCATATTCCACAGCCCTAGCAATGTCTTCTGCTTTGCCTACTCTCCCCGCAGGATGCCACTTTGCGTCGTCCTCCGTCAAGCCTTGGTCCCACGCTGCACTGCTTTGGTCACCCGCCTTGCTCTCATTTAGCACGTGGATCCATCCAGGGATAATAGCGTTGACTCTGATGTTGTAGCGGTGGCCCAGCGACACAGACATGGATTGGGTAAGGCCCAGCAGCCCGGCTTTGACGGCCGAATAAGCCTCGTGGTCTGGCTCAGCCTGGTGCGCGCGTGTAGACGACATGTTGATAATGGTGCCTGGGGAATGCGGCGTCGAGTAGCCGGCAGCCAGAAGCGGGATGCACAAGCGACTGAGCAGAAATGGCGCCGTGAGTCCTATTGCTAGCTTCAGATCCCATTCTCTCTCCGTGTCTTCTCCGGGGGCTTCCATGCGCCGGTCCTCTGAGATGCAGAGGTCGGTGGGGAAGGCGTTGTTGATGAGGACATCAAGGGTGCCGTTGAATTTCTGCTTCACTTCTTCGACAGCGGCTTTGACTTGTGTGCGTTCGCTGAGATCACATTGCAGTGCGTGCCATGTTTCTTTCTGGCCGTTTGACCACTCTTGCGCGCGCGTTTTGATATGCTCTAGTTCTTCCTTGTTGGAGTCTAGGATGATGACTTGATGCCCGGCAGTCAGCAAATGGCGGAACAGCCCTCTGCCAATACCTCGTGCGCCGCCCGTAAGCAAGACCTTTAGGTGCCGAGGAGGGGCAGTCATGATGGAGATTGTCTTCTCGAGCTTGTGTGTGTTTGATCCTGAGCTTTGACCTTGTGCACGACGGAGTCTTGCGTGTGGCAATATGCAAAGGGATCTCGGTGGCTTTGCTAGTTATGTTACTCTCGAAAAAGGAAGACGACGATAAGACATCTGCTTCTGGTGAAGGCTTTTGACGCTGAAACAGGGGCGCGCCATTCGCCGATGCAATGAGCGAAAAAGGCGACTGGATGACGTCAGCATGCATAACGTGCGGGATCAGTAAGCGGCCCACATCAGTAAGTGGCCCACCCCACCAAACCTGACGCGATACTCTCCACAACCACCACTATGCCGCGACAACAACGCTCTGTACAGACTTCTCGTGAAGGTAGAGTTCTTCTAGCATCTCGCGCGCTTCAAGAAAAACGTGTTGTAAGCCAGCGCCAAGCTGCCTATGCTATACGACGCTCCACGAACAACGCTCCGACGACGCCTCCGCGGTACCAAGCCACGATCAGAGACAGCCTCCGTCAATCGCAAGCTATCAGCTGTCGAAGAGCAGTCTCTGTTCAATGGATCATAGAGCTAGATCGACGAGGCTTTCCGCCCATATATCGACGTG